CTGTTTTTGGTGTGAAAGGGTGGCCCGAAAGGGGGGGCTGGCCCGAAAGTAGGGTAGTTGACTTAATAACTGATTCTATATGATAAGTAGAGAATCGAATTTTGGGGGTTAATGAGATTGGTAACTTGACAAAATATATGTCATCATTATTGGCATCTAGTGACTATAATTCACTCGTATGTCTGGTTCAGGAAATACACATATTTCCCATTAAAGCCATGATGATGTTCATATCACAAGTATCAGCTAGAAGCGACAATGAAAATGTTAATGAGTGAAAAAAAAGTCAATGCAGGAAGAATTCATCAATCTATATATGGATGATTGATTACACTGATTTCACTTGTCTTATTTGAACTTTGTGCGTATTGCATATCATCAACATATGCATAGTTTTGTGGGGAAATGCTAGTTGCGGTTCTCCCTACATCAATCATAATCATCGATTCACGCTTGGTTGAGTATCTTGATCAGTGGTTCTCAGTGCTAGCTTCGATGAACGCTCGAGACTTGCAGTGACGTAATGGTTCGAGGTTGTGAGGGTTCTAGTCAAATGAGATGCAAACTTGTACTAAGCGATGAGATTGTTCTTGTTGAGACTAGATGTTTCTCAAAGAATCTTAGATTTTAATTTTTGAGGGCGATGTCAACTTGTTCGGACGAACTATCTATACTACCCCGGAGTCAAATGTATCGGATGAGCACCACTATTCATGATGAGACTACAGAGAGGGATGAGTGCATTCATTAGACTGGTCATTAGGCACCCTCGATCTCATAGTTCCCCGAAAGTGAACGGTCCGAGTTGACTGAGTGATAACTATTTGTGTAGCCATTGGCATTTTTAAATGGTCGCCCTGCAAGCCATGCCCGTAATCTTGAGTGAGGAAAGCGATGCTCTTTGAATCAGTTCATTACCTGATATTTGTCTAAAATAATACCTTCGTTACGTCATTGAGCCAGCTTAGTCTCATATACCGAAAAAACGAAAGCCTTCTCATAACCGAAAAATATTGTAATACGTCAAATTAGCAGCTCCACTCTTCTCCTCGTTACAAGCTGCGATCAACGCATCTAAAATCTGTGGCTGTTTGCGTTGGTAGACAAGACAAATAATACTCCAACCAAACTACAGCCCTCAAATCATTCAATATCACAATCTTTTGGGCAGCACCGAGGGACTAGCAATCGTAATGGCCTCCACTCTGCTATTTGTGATTCAAATTACCATTACATTGCTTGCCTAGAAGCTGTATCTATCAACGCCTGTGCCGTCGCAATCATGAGAACAAAAGGAGAAACCAAGAAGTTAAAGCTTCATGCACTACTATTGTGGAGCCTGTCTTTCAGAATCTGTTATACTATATGCCAGGGATAACGCAATAACTTCATGTAAATGAAGCGTTTGTCGGCCCCTTATGCAAAGGCATTTTCCAGATTCTCCGGGAACTAATAAGATTCGTAAAAACTGTGGCGGAATCTGCATGTCAATAGTAGGTAGGTTTGGGTGGCTTATATTGGTGTTCTATACTAATTTTTGGAAGGCAAAAGAAAGCTGTGAAGATTTGAGAATGTCGAAGTAAGACAGAGATTGTATTTGGCAACATGATATAAAGAAGAATACATGAATGCTAGTTTCAGACGAAAAGTGCTAATTCAATGAAGATTCAAATCCCCCTTTAATTATAGTGGAAGAAGTTGTCTTTAGAGTTCTAGTTCTTCCTCTACATGGTGAATTATATTCTCATAAATTATATTCTCATAAATGTAACGTCTTAACATTTGCTTCAATCTACTAGATTGAAGCTGCCAAACCTCATGCAATCTCTTTGATCACTCACTGAGTTTGACTCCTAATACATTGTGACGGCTGTTGCTCTTCTGTACAAGCAACATCCCGCTTGGGCATTGAAAAATGTAACTGACTTCTGGTCTGGTTACAAGCATCTTCACTCAGATTTCCTTAATTGATCAAACTCTCCACCATAAAAAAAATTAAACAGACTTATAGGGAGCTCACAAACGAGTAGACATCTTCAATTATAATGAACGCAGAAAATGACTTGGAGTTTTATGTCATCTATAATCCAGCCCCCATGTACCACAAAGTACTCCAGGGCCGATGTTCTCCCATAACCTCACCAATGTCCAGAAAATCCGACAACTTCCAATTATGCACCTCTTTTTGACCTCAAAGACAACGATGTTCGCAGATTCGTCGTTCTCAAACGCTATGATTAACTTTCTGCAGTATTCTAACACCTTCTGCATCACAATGTTTGTGTACAGAAACCGCGAGAAGATATAAGATAAGAGTCATCCGGTCAGTGAGATAAGAGGCAGGCATTCTCGTGTCTTTCTTAAATACTGGAAGTATGCCCGTGTTGAAGATGCTATCCATTGGGATATTGCGCAAGCACTTAAGAGCACAGGAATTTCGAGCACCTAGGTTGTTTACTAGAACATACAAAATGGCTTTCGCCGCAGAGCTCGTCCTTAAAGTCGAAGACTATGTCAAACAATACATGTCGAAATACGATGCCTCTCACGATTTCGCTCACATCAAACGCGTCGTTAGCAGAGCCCATTTCATACATGCTCGGATAATTGCAAATGCTACCACGAAGGGTCAACCTGTCCCACAATACGATATGACTACCATTACTCTTTCTGCTTTGCTACATGATGTTGGGGATAGGAAGTACGTTGATATGGAGAAGGAAGATCCGAAGACGATGATAAACGACTTGCTATTGAATCTTGGGGCGGATCCTGGCCTAGCCTCGAAAGTACAGACCATTTGTTCAGGGGTTTCACACCATGAAGAAATTAAAGATCTCCAACATGTTCAAAATCTCATTATACAATACCCCGAGCTTGCCATTGTCCAAGACGCGGACCGCATAGATGCACTCGGAGCTATAGGCATCGGAAGGGTATTTACATATGGTGGTGCGAAGACGCTCAGGCCAATGCTCGATTCGATAAATGTGTTCGATACGAAGCTGCTCAGCTTGGAGCCTCTGATGAAGACGGAGCCTGGCAGAGAGATGGCACGTGAAGCGGTCAAGCGATTGGAGATATTCAGGAAATGGTGGATAGGGGAAGTCGTAATTGAGGATGGGTACACACTACGCATTACGCAGTAGGTATCATTGGTGGAGGGAGGGCGCGAGGAATAAGCATGTCTTCTTTATCTGTGCCTGAGCTGGCGGAGGCTGAGTAGACTTACTACCGCTGGGTTTGGAGTTTTAATGGTTTGCCAAGTTGGCATCGGGATCGATAGACATGTGCAATGAAATTCAAGTGCAGAGTTTCTCCGTTCATCACTCATAATCTTCCCAATTTTCCTGTTCTTTGGTCATTGCTATCTAAATCTCATGTTGTTTCCCGGAATGTTCATAGAAAGGAATCAACACCAGCCATATGTTGCTAATTGTCCCCTCTCGCCTCGCGCTGCCGATTTGATACATCTCACGATAGGACTACCCTTGAGTTGATCCTGCCAAGTGTACTTGAGCTCAATCTCGAATTGATCATGAGATTAAGGCTCTAATGCTTGTAGCTAACCGGAATAATGAGCACCATTAATTTCAGAGGTGGAGTCGATGAGGTTAGCCTGCTAAACTAGAGCAGTGTGTGTCACCACTAAACTAACCTTAAGCTTCTTCTTTTTCACTAACAGTACTCATCCGTTGTTCTGGCGACTCGTCCACCACAAGAAACCTGCAAAAGAAGCAACTGAATAATGGCAAAGTTCAAACCGCGACGGCATGATATTTGTAGTACACGAGGCCCAATCATGGGAATTACAACGTCTGTCCGACTCGAAAAACCACATTGTGAATAGAGAGGCGAACACTCATCTCCAGGAGTCATACCACTGCGCCATCGAGACATGGAATGCTTATGGTGGAAGGTTGGTTGATTCAAGGATATTTTTCTATCCCTATCGTGAAATTTGGCGGGTTAATTGGATTGGATTTGGGAGCCCTTCGCATTCTCAACATTCCTCGTATTTGCAGTTTGGAAGTGGGCATCATTGTTTTTTGCAATCGTCTAATGCGGATCTTGAGAGGGTTTTCAAAAAGTAGAAGTTTATGGTACGTTGGACAACTAATTAGGGATTCATCAATTAGTGAGCAGTCGCCGGGTTATTCATTATGAATGCGACTACGAGTACTCGGGTAGAATATCAAAGTCAGAAACTAACACTTCAAATTGTGACCCGAAGACAAGCTCTTCGCCCTCTTTGGTATCCTCCCAGTTTATCAAGCTGCTCCCTATCAACTCAAATTATTAGTTTTATCAATTGCATAAATCACATGTTGAACATGCGACAATCCTTGTCGATTGCTGCAGCTAATGAGCGTTTGATTCTACTATCGCTCCCAACTTATATAGCAAGGTCTTCATATCACGATGCACCTCCCAGGTTCTTGCATTGTGATGTAGTACTGCATTAATGGTCATGTGGATATGATTCTTTGCAACCCCGCGTTAAGTACTTGATGATCATGATAGTGGTAAGTTCTCACTTGTTTCCCAAAGTCTTGCGAGCGCCTACCTCATTGTTTTGTCTTTCGTCTTCATTATGACACTGAAAACGCCTCTGCGAACTTTAATTGATCTGCTCCTTTTATCACCAGTAGTGGCTCAATGGACCACTACCCACACGACGTCACCAAATGCGAGTACATTCGATCCTCTGCAATATGTCAACCAACTTATCGGCACTAACAACGGTGGGAATGTTTTTGCAGGAGCTACCATTCCATATGGAATGGCCAAAGCAGTCGCTGATGTTAATGGTCAAAATACTGCTGGATTCTCAACGGATGGTAGCAGTGTGACTGGATTCTCACATATGCATGATTCTGGCACGGGAGGAAACCCTTCTTTGGGCAATTTTCCATTATTTCCACAATACTGCCCGGACGATGTGATTGATAACTGCAAGTTCTCAATCACGGATCGAGCTGCGCCATATGTTCCTGACTCTGTGGTGGCTACGCCAGGATATTTTGGCTTAAGTCTAGCCAACGGGATACACGCGGAGATGACAGTTTCAGAGCATGCTGCTCTTTATCGTTTTAAATTCCCTGCGGAAACATCCTCGAATGGGACGGTATTGAGTCCGCTCATTCTCTTAGATCTGACAGATTTGGCTGCTAGCAGGCAAAACGCAGCGATCAGCGTGGCTGACAACGGTCGTATAAAGGCAAACGGAACATTCATCCCAAGTTTTGGGAGTGGTTCATTCATGTCATATGTTTGTGTTGATTTCTCAGGGGGGAGCATTCAAGACACTGGAATATGGGTCAACAACAGAGCAGGAACGGAGCCGAGAGACTTGTTTGTCACAAGAGGCATAAATCTATTCTATATTCAAGCTGGTGGTTTCATACGCTTCGATGCACCGACTAATGGAACTATCAGTGCTCGAGTGGGCGTTAGTCTCGTTAGTTCGAATAAAGCATGTCAGAATGCAGAAAATGAAATTCCCGACTGGAATTTTGCTGGGTTGAAAAAGACAGCTGAAGATGCGTGGAGGGAAAAACTAAGTGTTGTGACTGTGGAGGCTGGCAATGGGAGTGACGTATCATTATTAACCAATTTTTACAGCGCGATATATAGGACGATGATGTCTCCGCAAAATTATACTGGAGAAAATCCCTTATGGGAAAGTACAGAACCCTACTTTGATTCATTTTACTGGTAGGCTTTTAGGTCAGTTGGCTGGGGATCTAGGCAGTTAACAAACACACAGTATCTGGGATGCATTTAGATCTCAACTCCCATTCCTCACTATCATCGATCCATCAGCCCTATCAGAAATGATCCGCAGTCTTCTCGATACCTATAAAAACCTCGGCTGGCTTCCAGATTGTCGTATGAGTCTCTGCAAAGGTTTTACCCAAGGAGGTTCAAATGCCGATAACGTCATCACCGACGCATATGTGAAGAATCTCACCGGTATAGATTGGCAAGTAGCATACGAAGCAGTGATCAACGATGCGGAAAATGAGCCACTAGATTGGTCCAACGAAGGACGGGGTGGTCTCATGTCCTGGAAAGCGCTGAACTATATCCCCTACCTCGATTACGACTATCTAGGATTCGGTACCAATTCCCGAAGTATTTCTAGAACGTTGGAGTATTCATACAACGATTTCTGCATCTCGACCCTCGGAAAAGGTCTAGGGAAACCGGAATACACGAAATATTTACAGCGAGCCACGAATTGGCAAGATCTGTGGAAGGAAGATCAAACGTCTTACATCAAAGGTGTGGATACAGGATTCACGGGCTTCTTCCAACCGAAATATTTGAATGGGACGTGGGGGTATCAAGACCCGATCTTGTGTAGTCCATTGGATGATTTTTGTAGTTTGACGAGTAATCCGCAAGAAACGTTTGAGGGTAGTATTTGGGAGTATCAATTGTTGGTTCCTTCTTCCAGCATAGTATGTTCACCGAACTGACGAATAATCAGCTTTGTACCACACGATATCGCAACCCTGATTGATCTGCTCGGTGGGCCAGAACCGTTTATTTCCCGTCTTGACTATCTCCACACAAGTGGCCTGACAGATATCGGAAACGAACCCTCATTCCTAACAGTATTCCTCTATCATGTTCGTTTCTCTCCCTCGCCTTATCACCTTCACCTTCACTAGCCCCGCACTAATTCTCCCCATAGTACGCAGCTCGTCCCGCACTCTCCGCCTCTCGCGCTCACACCTACATCCCCGCCTACTTCAACGCATCTACCACTGGGCTCCCCGGTAACGACGACACAGGCGCCATGGCCTCCTTTTCCGCTTTTTCCATGATGGGGTTATTTCCTAACCCGGGACAAAATGTATATTTAATCATCCCGCCATTCTTCAAAGCCGTTAGTTTTACGAATGAAAATGGGAAGAGGAGTACGATTAGGAATTTGGGGTGGGATGGGGGTGTGAGGAATATTTATGTGCAGAGTGCGTGGGTAGATGGGGTACGGTGGAATAGGAGTTGGATGTGAGTATCTCTAACTTCTTTTTTGGAGTGTATTGGGAAGTGGAAATAGAGGCGGGAAAGCTAATCCGTGAAATGAATTCTAGTGGACATGAATTCTTTACCGAAGGCAAGACATTAGAGTTAGTTCTAGGGGATACAGAAAGTGATTGGGGTACCAAAGAGGAGGATTTGCCCCCTAGTATGAATGTTGGTAACATGAAGTTTTAGTTAAAGAACCTTGGTGGTACTCCCTGGACAACTTAACGTCTGTGAATGAATGGTATAGGGGGATAGATAGTCGAAATGTCTTCTTCTTCTTCCTCAAAGCCATTGATGATGAAATCTCTCTCTTGTCCTTTAACACACTTCTCAGTCAGTCCCCAGCAGTTATATCTCCTTGATGATAATAGTGCCCAGCATTAAATCTTCTAAATGAGCGAAAAGACTTTGCGTCTACAAGGGGGGCTCGTATCATTACGATATATCTTCAGCCTCTAAGATAGTTTTAGTGATCATATCTCAAGAACTTGAAAAAAAGGAAGTTTCACTACTGAGTAATTCACGACTGTTTTCTTCACGTCGTCTAGATCTCTGCTGCGCTCTAGTTTGTGAACTCTCAGGCCTGGAAGTCCGATATGTTTGATTGTGTAGCGGAGAAGATGCAGCATCTGGAGTAAGTCCTTTGTCTAGTTCACCGGATGTTCCGCGAAATATGACTCCAGTGATGTTTCATATGCACTGCTCCGCGGAGTAGCAATTCCTTGTTTGCTAAACATGGTCGTGAAAGCGGTACACTGTTGAACAAGGTTGATCAAACGGGCTCGAGAAGAGAGAAAGAGAGAAGAAATGTGGATTAGTTGCTTACGCAGATACCCATCAAAGCTGATGCGGTTATATTTGATTAACTAGGTTATTTGGTTATATTCAAGGTAGGTGGGTAGACACACATCGAATACCAACAGAATCATTCTAGTCATTTGACTATACAATACTTTACCAACCCAATTTCTTGTTGTAAGCTTGTTAGGATTGGTGGCGCTGGTAACATTATAGATCAGGAATTCTATTAATTTGTTGGTGCAATGGGGTATTGATCAGGCTGGCTATGGAGACCGGGAGGGTTCGGATAAGCATACTGTACCCGTCCAATCCGATCCATGAACCACTCGCTACTCAACCGAGACCCGGCAAGTGGAGAAGGTTCCTTACAAAAAGACTAATGTACGAAATTTTAGATTTAGAGAAAATGCCACCGAGATAGTCATTGGGTTATCTGGACCGTTATTGGAGAGAAAAGTCCGTAGTGTCTTAACGAGTGGCATCATTGGCATGCCCTCAGTTCCTCTGTTACCAAACTAGTCAAAGTTGTGCATCGTATTATGTAGCTGAAGTCTCGAGGAATGTCAAGTTATTGTCTATATAGTATGGAGCTCGAAGCACTACTTTTTTTGCTGCAGTTTGAAGAGATGACACTATGTCAGGAGCTGCATCGATCTATTTGATGAAACCTTCTGTAAACACGAAGACGTAGCGAACACCAGCAATTTGCACCCAAGACCGATGCACAGTAGAAATGTTCTAGCCTTCGGTCGTATCTATGAAATCCTAGGAGTTTATAGTGTGGAAAGACGTTACTCATGGGTGTTACTTAAGATACGCTTGCCCAGCTACTAATGATCTTTTCTAATGGCTCCACTACACTGTCGCCAGATTGGGGAGTCAGCAATTGCCTCTCAGGGAGATATTTTGGAACAAAATGGGTGAGTTAAAGCTAAATCAAGCCAAAGAGGATACGCAAGATGAAACATGACCCTCTTGATATCGAGAAATAGAAACGAGGACCAGAGAGTATGCAATTAGAAAACCAAACATACCTTGCATACACAGCTTGTGTGAACCTCGGATTATCCCAATTGGCCTTCTCCTCAAAGATGCAGAACATACAGCATTTGATCACATGCTCCAACGCTGGTTCTTGCTCACATACAGCATCTGCCCAGTCGAGAGCTGTGAGGTAGTTGGTATTTGCATGTTCTTTTCCATCGACAAGGAAATTTTGGCGTATGGCTTGTTCCTCAATGCGTTGCCCAAAACATAGTTCGAGTAAGACGATGCCAAGATCATGTAATGATTGCTTAACAGTAGTTGTGTTGTTCTCATTTGGCATATGCCCTAGTGGTTTAAATTGGCATTTGGAAGAGAAAAATGAGTAAGGAAGATATGGCTCGTCGATCATGATTTTGTGGGCATTCCAATCACATGGAAAGAGGATTTTGTTTTTTTGCAGATTACTAGCAAGCCATGGTGCATTCTGAAGCTGTAGCAACGAAGATGCAAGTATGCATGCAATTTTGTATCGCTCATGCCGATTGAGTGGAGGGAAAGGCCTAGTGTTTGAAAGAATCGTTTCAAGACTAACGAATTGCTCTTTATGAAAGGCGGGCGAAGCTGAATTATCATCGAGACATCGGAACTCGTGGTAATTTTGATGCTCGTCTGGAAGATACCCCAAGTAAGTTTCGGAAATGCCGCTAGACTTATAGACAGTCTTACATAGATCGTCTATTTTGACATCATTGAGACTTTTCGCTGGAGGAGATAACAGAATGGAAGGAGTGGGTGAGGCGGCTGAGGTAGCATGAATAGAAAGCTCTATTGTTGGTACAGTTGAGGTAGGCAATATAGGCTCGTAGAGGTCATGAATTTGGACTGACTTCTTCGCCTTTAATTTGAGCCCCGACAGCAATCTCCTAATGTAGCTCTTAGTGAAAAAGCCCAAGCGTGATCAAACTCTTCCCACCACTCGCATCATGAAGTTCTGTATGGTCTGATTGGATAAAAGTTCGTCCTGCACGTTATATCTAAAATGTACATAACTGATATTACATGAAGAAAATCGAGGTCATGACTTACTTTACATGGCTTTCTTCTATCGCAACATTTGTTGAGACAGACGTATGTGACTGTGATTGGCAACTCGAAACAGATCCTGTAAAGCTTGTTTGTGATATTGTTGAGGATGAGGGAGAAGAAGGTCTAAGAATTGGTCTCGTAGCGATGTTGGCCCCTGGGTATGCCTTTGACTCAAAATCCCGTCGCAAGTTCTTGCATCCAGCTTCTGCTACCGAAGGGTGCAGGAGAATATTTGGTTGGTCATTGTGTTGTGTACCGGCAAGTTTCACATTGACAATCAGCTCTCGTCGTTTGTGGGGAGTGAGGGCAATTGTTCTCATATTTTTCGGGTATTCAAAGGATACGTTGAATGACGACCAGTCTCCTGTGGTACGCTGTTGCAATCGAAGAGCCACTATATGAGGCTCTCGACAATCACATTTCCATCCATCTTTGATAGCAGTGTGTAAACCTTTTGCGTGGCGTCTAATACAATCAAATATATTTGCCCATGCAGTGTCCTTCCTGACCGATTTCATACTGTCCAATTTATCATTCGAGTCGAGCAGCTCTCTAAGCTTGCGGTTATGTTTTTCGAGAGCCTCGACAGCCTTTGTTCCTTTCTTGCTAAAACTATGTCGGATTCTCTTTAGCTGATAGTCCCAGCCGCCAGCTCCCTCATTTACCCAGTCGGACTATAGCAACACAATTGTTAGCAATGCTAAGAACAAGTGGATTAAAATTGCCCCACCTTTCCATCTTTTGATGACAGTAGGCTTTGCAGTTCTGCCATGAGATCATTCATAGTTTTGATAGAGCTCATAAAAGCCCCGTAAGAATGTCCGAGTCGCAAATTCAAGGCCATGGCCAGATCTTTGCGATGCTATCCATCATGATTTGGATCCGCGAGAAAAAGCTGTAGCTCATCCTGGGAGACGTCGACCGAAATTAGGAACCGCTCTAGCATCTGATAAAAAAGTTGTTTCTCGATATCGACAGCGTCGATGAATTTCAGGAACTCTGTGCGGAACCTCTTCCATCTTATCAAAGACTCCCAGCCTTCTTTGTAGTGTTCTGCCGCTGACACTAGGAGTGGAAAACCGCCGAGAACCAGCGCGACAATTTCGATTCCAGACATTACAGTTTGGTTATGGATCTAGTCCCGGGTATTGATTCGTCACCAAGAATGAACTTGAAGCACTCTTAGTCGAGAATCTCCATATAAATTTGCATGTCATAAAAATGAGCTGCTATCTTCTACCTCCAGTCAGTATCATTATTTGCGGCGGGGTAAATGTCACCCCGAGGCTTTGATTTGTTGAAGCCTTCTTGGGTTGTACACATTACGAGGATGTGCGATAATGGTCAGGCATGCCAAAAGAAATCCCGGTGAAAACTCCTCTACAACCCACGACGTTTGCAAAGTTGGACTTTCTTACACTGAGGGGATTCACGATTGGAAACGAAGACACATGGAGACGTTGACGGCCCAAGACCAAACTGTGCCGACACCGTCGTCTAATGAAGATAGTGGAGAGATCAGAAAGATGATTGCAGCTCCAGTGCTTGAAGAATCGGAAGGAATTTGCGTTCGTTCTGTGGATTGTAGGAATCGTTTCGAATACGGCATCCAAATGCTGAAGAAGCTTAGCCCTTCCGAGGCTCAAAATCATGGATTTGACCGTGATCCATCATTATTCACGATGCAAGACACATTCGCACACTTTAAAGCATGGGGTAACAGTATTGCAGCGTTCCAAAATGTTGTGAGACGCAGCTCGCTGGAGTTTCGTCTGAAAGAAGCTAGTGAAATACAACAAAGAGTTTTGAAGATCCTTGGTAATCTCCAAGTGTCGTTATATGAAGGTATGTCATCCAATTGATTCTACGAAGCTAGCTGATGACTGCCAGCTGCCCTGATCTTCATCGGGGAAGAAAAGAACGAGTCATGGCCAATTGAGGAATTCAGTGATTCTGAAAATGAGGGGGTAGGCATAGAGTTTGAACAGACTTCCGAGCTACAGGAACTCTTCAGAGCGATGAAAGATGCGAATACAAACCTCATGAAGCTTTCTATGGTCATTCGAAACTCGCCAGATCGAGACGATTACCTCAAAGCTGCTACGAGATACCCGTTCGATGCTAGTTATGATATCGGCCACGTGAGAGAGAAGCACGGCTCTGCAAAAGGCATTGCTGATTGGCTAGTTGTGCGTCTCGGAAAGGCCATCACAAGGCGACGCCAATACCTAAAATATCGTCAGGATCATCATGGGAAGTTGACAAGGGATTGGGGCGAGACTGCTGTCATTGACGAGAATAAAAAGACAATTGCTTCAACTGAGGCCACAGATTTTATTGAAAATACTATTCCAGTTCAGAAGGATGAGTCGGAGCTGGGTAGCTACTTCGGTTCGCAGACTTCCTACGAAGCTACAATTGTGGGGGAGGCTGCTGGGAGATTGAAGGTACCTTCTCATCCAAAAATGGCATTCGAAGATGTGCCCTTTGAGTTTGGTAGCCCCTTTCGATGCCCCTACTGTTTCACAGAACAGATAGTCGAGAACGGCTCTGATTGGAAGTATATATGTCCATATTTGGCCATTGTCCAACACGCCAATCACTGACAATGGCACAGGAAACATGTGTTCAGAGATCTTAGACCCTACGTCTGTACTTTCGAGGAATGCGACATGAGAATGTTCCGCAGTCGGAACGAATGGTTCGCACACGAACTTCAGCATCATCGGAGAGAGTGGGCCTGTCAACAATGCCAGCATACCCCATTTTCGACCTCCTTAGCATATAAAACACATCTGATGTCAAAGCACCACATTGAAGTGGAAGGGTCTCAACTCAAAGGCTTGATGTTGCAAAGTGAAGAGCCGGTAGAGAAGATATCTGCAACTGCATGTCAACTATGTGATGAGTGGAAAACAAATATTGAAGACATAAAGCACGACTATAAGCGCTACTTCTTCAATGGAGGACAGCCATCGCAACCTTGCGGGACTCGTGGGCAGTTTAGACGACATCTAGGGCGACACATGGAACAATTAGCTTTATTCGCGTTGCCTACGGATGAAGATATTATGGAAGACGAAAGTCTAAGCGAAGAGGAGTATCACGAAGAGGCGTCAGTTTCTAACGCAAACCGCGAAGACATTAACAACGAGGCTCTTAAAGAGTCAATATCTGAAGACTTTTCACTGAATATCAGCGATCTTTGGAAACAGCACAATACAATGACAAGGTCGGGTTGATTTCCCAGACCGAGCACACCGACAATGGATGCATTGTACGTCAGAGGAGGAAGTGAAAAATCTATATCGATATCTGAAAGAAGTACAAAAATATCAGAAGTGGCAAAATAACAATATATTGGTGGTCCCTAGCGAACGTGTTGATCGCGATGGTTTTTCGTTCGGCTTTTTTTCGGGTTCCGGGTATTCAATATGGAAAGCTTCACATGCGAGATTCTGGCTGCCGCTTCGGAGCAATTCAACTTTGACCTGCGTAACTACGCTTTATATATTTGCTCAGCAGACGAAGAAATTACTCTACTACTCACGGTCCAGGCACTGATACCATTCAGACAGCTGGAGAAGCAAGAAAAAGGCCTCATTTTTACATTGAAAAAGATCTTGGATCCAAACACGGCAATGGAAGATAAACAGAGCAAAGATCCCCAAGAGCTCCTAGAAATGGTGAGACAATTAGATAATACTAAGACCACGAAATCCCGATGATCTTATAAGGGCGGAAATACAATCGCAGAGGAGCAAACCCCCTGAATGTAACATGTCCGGACATTACTACTTCTAAAGAGCAACGTAAGTTTTATATTCATTCCAGGACGCTTAGAAGATGCTAACAGGCACGAAGATGCGTAATAACTTCGAAGATCTGGAACATTGAGCAGAAGATGAGCAGATTCGAGTGGTCTCGCCACCAAAAAGAAAGTCGAGCTTAACCGCGTCCAGAGTTTCCTGAAGATCCTCATCCCCATCCGTGAAAGTGTGGCTCCCTTAAACGATGCTGAGGATAATCATATACCGCCAGAGACATGTTGGAATAAGATCGATGAAAGGCTTGTGAGCCCAGACACATTGGAGACTGGAAAAGAACAATCTGAAATCGAAGAGGATTTTGCGATTGTAGTCCGAGTATTGAGCCGAGAAGAAACTCAAGCATATGCCGTTGAGACCCAGAAAATACGAGGTGGGTGAATTACCAAGCTTTATATGATATCGGTTAACAGAATTGCAAATCTGCCAGACAAGAAACAGATCGCGCAGCTACCCGCAGTACAGATATAGACAGTAGTTGTCATCGAGATCGTCGCTCAGATTACCGGGATGCTCATCAGAGACATAAACGAGAAACAGAGATGTACCCTCGAAGGGAGTTAGACACGTCCCAAGATGAGACTAATTGTCATTTCTTGATTGTCACTAGCTTTACAGACTGACTGACTGATTGATTGATTGTGATCAGTGGCATGTCTTCCAGGTGATAGAACTTTGATAGCAACACGCAATGAAGAAATGGAATGGGTCTTATACAAACGTCCTATTTTCCGAGAAAGACACCTGATGCTTGCCGAAGGCTTTATGATCGATTAGAAGCTCTGAATTCCAGATCTTAAACAAAATACTACCTTGTTTTCCTCAAATCTTCACGTACCGAGTCTAAGCAGGCGCTGGAACGACGAAAGACTAACGGGTCGAACAACATTCAAAGATATCCCACCTGGAGTTCTGCAGGGTTCGCAACCCTACGACCAATGTTCTTCCCATTTCGGGACTCCCATAACAAACTTCCAGCGAGTAAGCTCCCACAAACGCCCTCAAAGATTGCGACGTTTCTCCAGGGCCCGGCATCAATCGTAAAAACTCCAACAGCAATCGTCCGCCCAACAACTGTCAGCCACATCGCAAGTATATCCCTTCTCAGGGCAGCAATGAGGTAGAATGTGCTGTTATGCATAGCTACAGATCAGTATCCGAATTTGCCATCATGAGAATTTCGAACCCCAGGATAAAATGAGAAAGAACTTAAAGAATTCTTACCCTATCGACATACATTCAAAAGATTGAAGCCGCCCTGAATTGCCAAAACGATTGATGATAGAGGAGGCATTTGTAAAGGTTGGGATGAGTGTAGAATTGCAGAATGAAACCATGAGAAACCTTGTATTTAAAGCTTTGCAGGGCTTACAAGTGGCTTGTGATTTGAGATGCTTGTCGATTAGTGATGAGATTAGTGATCAAGCAGAATCTGTGCTAACGTAGAAACTGGTGATGGTTTTCAATAAGCAGAATCTAGTTTGAGACTCGATATGTGATTGCATATCGCGTCGTGTGAAAGGTCGAAGTCATCGATGTCACCCACCTTGCCCAGTCTTGCATATTGGAATGTTGACGAGTCAGCATAACCTTATACAGTAACTTTAGGTGGACCATATAAAATCTCTCCATATGGCCTAACCTACACCTACCTACACACACATGTTCCTACCTATATATACCTATACCTATCTATACATACTATTGATAAGATATCTACTGCATACTTTATACCGTAACCTCAATATTGCAAGCTGACATAATTCGGTACTGTACGTACTTGACCTTAGGCTAATGGGTCAATCCCCAAAGTCATGCTTTTTTTCTTCGGAATGTCACGAAAGGTTCTGAAATGGGAAGAAGAGTTCCCAATCTTCTGACTTTGTCCGATTGACTTGTGTTTCTGGCAAAATCATTTCGAGTGAGATGTCAGTCATGCCATTCTGGATAGAGACGACGATGAAGAGGGTCAAAACCCGGATATCGAGTGATTTGCAGAAGTTGTTGCAGTCGGAGCAGTCAATTGCCTTTTGTGCATTTCAATATCCAGCCTCAATTGAATACCTTGTGTATCATTTGCTGATGACATCTGAGGAGTACTGGCTTGTTGTCTGGGATAAGCTGAACAATACTCCTTTATCCTTCAAAGTCGAACTGAATATAGCGAATCCATGGAAGATTCAATACTTTAGGGCACGACATTTACTTATCCCAGATCAACATAACAAATCTTCCTCTCCAAAAATCCTAGAATAAGGAAACGTTCGAGGGTGGATCTCGGTGAATACAAAGTCGTACACTCTCCGATCACTACGACGCACGTTTTATAGGGTCGTAAATCACAATCCTCTCATCGAGAGATTTATCATTGTCCCGGCATTTCACAAACTACCGAACTACATCCACGAGATGAGATGATCTTGAACCCCAGAGTACCAATTGTCACATTATTGTCTAGCTCCTGACGTCTGGCAGAAATGATCCATGAAACCAGCCTTTTTTTAAGCTTTTTTACGGGTCTCGGACATTGTCTTCTTGAAGAACATCCAAACTCTTAAGATGTGACACGGCCACACAGCCCTACAGGTGGAAGTTTCATCCATGTGGTGATCTAGAGTTCCGCCGCTTGAGGGGTATGATAAGCTATAGTGACCTCGTCGTATCAGTATTCGCTTCAGGCATTTCGCATCAGGCACGAAATGTATCCTATGCATTGAGATGGTCGGGAAGTTCCAAACTCTATGACAATATGAGGCATTCTTCATGAAAACTACGATTATACTTCGTACCAAGTATGAATACATGTGGCATTGCTACGTTTGGCTTAAAGTTAATGGCCATCATTACTGGATTTAATTTTCCGTTTTATTTCTCGAAGCTATATCAGGTTTGTCTAGTTTCAATCCTTGCATCTAGAACAAGTGTAGGCTTTCCTCAAATTTTCATATATTAATTTGCTATATTCTGTACTTCAAACTATTCGCTCTTTCCATCTATCTAATTCTCTATTGGGAATTACAAAAAAAAATTGAAGACATACATGTACCAAGGCAGGCCAATCCGGCTACATGCGCTACTCTCATTAGTTCTGTCTACGATATCATTTACATTGGGAGTTATAACAATATTTTCGGGGTCAAATGATGGGGTTCTAGAAGATTATCATTTCATGAGGGTAAGCTTGACCCTCAAATGTTGATAAACACAAGTCTGATATCGAACAGCTAAAAACGGCCAATCTCGGTCAAAACTTGATTGAATTCGCAGCAGTCAATTCTACCACAGCAAATACCACCAGCACAATCGATATATCATCTCTTAACGACCGCAGCATCTCGCCAGATTCTGTGACTAAGAGGGATGCAGCATCCGAGTTCGCCACAGAATTAGTTAGGAATGACATTAAAGGAGTCAAAGAAATAGTAGAGAAGATTGAGGCTGGCGATAATGAAGGCCTAAACGAAGACGAGACTGTGTTGGTATCGAATGTTACAGATACAATCGGAGTTGCGGATTTTTATATTCTGCATGTAATGAAGATTTGCCATGGATGTATCACGACAGAAGATAAATGGGTTGTTAGTAGCTGCTCGAATTATTCGCAAGCGTTGAACCGTGAGTTTATAGCCCTGACTCTAATCCTACATGCAAGTGTAAAATATAGAGCTAATTATACCACACAGGTTTGACACAACTCACCGCATCAACTCCATCTACATTTCGTATTGTCAACACTACACTTACCGTTCCCCTTCTTGGTCTTGCTACAACCGCAATGCCATTTACTGCCGGAATTCTAAATATTGGCACTGTAGCCATCCTCGCACTTTATGGCCTCGCATTGATAGGATCAGGTGCAACAATATTCCTATCAGCAATCTATATGTTTAAGCCCTCTGCTCGCATCGTCTACTTCGCCCTCTTCTTCTACTTCCTCGCATCTAATTTCACTATGACTATTACTCTCAACCTTACAGCCGTCACCAGCATGGTCAGCCAAATGATTTCTTTAGTAGGCCCCGCACTCGGCATTGAAGCCTCTGTCGGAAGTGCATTTCTGGGAAGTTCATGGATAGCTGCGATATTTGCATTGATTTCCAATCAATATTGGATGGTAGTCTGGCTAGTAGAAATCAGAGGATATGGATTCAGAAGAAGAATCAGAACGGACGAGGAGATTGGGGATTGGAAGGGAATTATGGGAGAATTGAAGCGTGATTGGAAAAATCCTGTACCGGAGGGACTTCATACTACGGGGTCGAATGAAGACCTTATAGGAGTGGAGAGGGTAGATGAGATTACCGGGTAGGTAGGTAGGTAGGTAGTATTAATTTACATCAGGAGGGCAGCTTAGGGCTGCCCTCAGAGCCTCCCTAGAGGTATGCTGATGTTCTAAGCTATAATCTTACAATACATGAAATAAGGGTGCCTTAGAAAGAAAAGTGAAAGCCTTACAGCCATTCCCGGTAATCGTATGTTACCTTTCAATTTGTACATTTCCTTTTTTGTTGATTGAAATAGTTCTGCTGTTTTGCCTGATATAGACAGTTAAGCCCGTGTTGTGGGCTTGCTATTGTATATACTTCAGCGATTTGGTGGATTGTTTTTCAGGTATAGTAGTTAGAATATTTGATATGTTTCTGGAAGCATTCTAGGGTATGCTTTTGTATACCTTGTTAATGTTTATTAGAATTCTTAAATCCTGACAATTGTTGTGATTTCCCTACATACACTCTGCAGGAGAAGTTGTGGTTTCGTTTGTATTGTACATTATAAATCGGTTCTGGTAATGGGTGTATACTTGTTGAGAGTTTATAGACTTTTGTTTGTAAAATGCAGACTTGTAGTCCTCTACCTTAAATATATATTTTTGTAGAATTTCGTTAGTTTTAGTAGCTTAACAAAGTCCGTGGAGTTGTTTAGGACTTAGTGTAGATATTGTATTCCTTCTGTTTTTGTCAATAATGATATAAAAGGCTTGTTTGGCTATTGTTCGAAGATGTCTTTTGCTTTCCGGTAGTATACCAAATAGTTAGGGGTTTTGAATCTTCTGCAGGAGTATTCTGTGTCCCCTGTGTATTTGTATTTCCTGTAATATTATCCGAAGTCTCTATATGAGGTTCGGATAGCTATCAGTCTATATAGAACTACTCACAGGAGTAAGAGTTCTGGTAATGGTTTGATTTTATAAACCGGGTTCTACTGTTTGTACCACTCTGAGAAAGCAGGTTCGCAGGAGGTTTATTATTTCTGATAGGTAGTTTCCCTGAGGCTATGTATGATTGATCGCATTTCATTATAAATGGGCTGTGATGCTGGTCCGGTGTCCCACCAGGCTTTTTTAGCACCAAGGTCTGTAAGGTAATCAGTTACCTTGTTTCCTTTGATATTTTTGTGTCCCGGTGATCATTTGACCTGGATATCATTTTCCTCTATAGCTTTATAACAGTTGTTGAAAGCCTATTGTAATGACATAGAGATATTAGCCCGTATACACCAAATGACTGAGACACTATCGATACACATCCAGATTTTCTGGTTGGTATACCTGGCGTCTTTGAGGATGCGTTCCAGGCCTTTCTATACTCCAATAGTTTCCATATCGAAGATATAGGATTAGATATTGATGAAACCGGAGTCTGCTAGTATTTGGTTCTTGCCTAGATATGTTACATATCCATAGTCCACTATATGTTTTCCTTGCACATGGTTTTCTGATCTATTTGAGAAGATGGTGATATCTGTTTCTGGTAGGTTGTCCCACCAGGTTCCGAAGGCTTTTGCTACTGTTTTCTTGTCAATTCCTTCTGTTGAATCTATTCGGCAGCCTGGTATGTACCTTATTGGTTTGAGTATAGGTCTTGGGATTAAAGGGATAAGTAAACCGAGTCGTTGGATTTTGGTTTTCGCTCTTTGTCTTATACCCATACCTCGTTCTTTGATGATTATAGAGGATTCAATTCTTTTTGTAAACGGGTGGTTCTTGTCTACGCTTTGTAGACATAGGGCAAACCTCAGTTTGGCTTCTTCGAGGGCTGCCATGGCTAAGGGGAGTCCTGCTTCGCGGTAGAGGGCCGCTATTGGCGTGGTTCTCCAGGCCGGTATGAGATTACCGGGGAGCCGACAAAGGAGCAGTCATATCGTTTGAGGTGATCGGCAGGCAAGGGGCCAAGAGTAATGAAGCCTTTTAAAATGAATGCATTGGTATTATCGGGAACCAGACATGATCATAAATTACCTGGTTATGGTGGCGAATTACAAGGAAAATGATGTGCAATTTGGGATACAAAACTAGGGAGTCATGTCAAGGTTTAGATAGGAACTTCACACGATTAATTGAAGTAACATCACGATTGCACTTGCGAAAGGTCAAACGAGATCTGTAGTCATCAGTTTGTGAGATGAATCATAGATAAATAGTCTTTACTATTATTCCTTCATATACTCAGTATATGAAGCACTCTTTTCCAGAGGTATTTCAAAATGTGATTAAAAACTCCTATCTCCAAAAATTTCCTTTCTCCAAGGACTCTATCCCCAAAATAAGTTTCTTGAAAGAAATACCTATCGATCCACAGAGCAAACACAAACACTCCAACTCTCCTACATTCACAATTATCCAACCGACTGTTTCCCTTCAGAGCTGACTCCACCTTAGGTTGGCCAGATCTAAAGCTTCCTGACTCTCTCCGGGTCCCAGTGGATTCTCTTCCTCCTCCGTCCCTTCCTTCCTTCATTAATGAAAAAAATCCGTACATCCCATTTCTTCCCTTTCACTCACAAATCCTGCCACATATCCCAAATTTGAAAAATGCCCTAGGAAATTTCTCTTTGTGAGAGCATCCTCCATAAATATCCAAACTGTAACACATAAAACACCTCAAAAATCCAAGACAACCCGTTCCAATACAAGCACTAACAAAATCCATCATAAACTCTCAACCTCCGTAAAGCACAAGAACATGAACTATCCATTCAATTGCACGTCTGGGTATTTCTGTCACTCTTTCCTTGAGTCATCCGCCTCGAGATCCCAAGCCCAGAGTACCCATATCCATACCCGTACCCACACCCACACCCAACGCAAATGCCAAAAAATCATAGCACTATCCATATTTCCATTATAGTCATACATCGGACTGCGTAAGGCGTATAGCGTACATCGGAAATCCATAACTCATATTTCATACATGGCATCCGCCATAATCGAGCGGACTCGGAGTCGTAGAGCAGTGCTCTGAGAATATCGTGATAGGTATATCGAACATCGTAATAATAAGTCGTAAATCGTAACAGCAAACTCATGCAAACCGTTCCGCGATCGCCATACCCAAACAAACTCAAAGTCATAAAGAAGCAGTACACCGAAGAATTGGTTCGTCGCGTACCGAAGATGCCGTCTAACTGCTCAGAAAGTAATCATAATACATGAATAAAGAATGAAGAATAAAGATATCCGAGAATCCGGAGACATAAATTTGATATGAATACCGGTATAAGAAGCTATTCAGCTCAGAAAGTCAATCGTAAATATCGAACCGCAAACGTACATGTCGCAGTAGTAAGAACGAGGAGCCCGGAGCTCATTTTCGAATCGTCGCTGATCAGACGACGATGTGAAGCAGAGCTTATGTTCAGGGCGAAAAGGTGAGGGGGTATTGAAGGTGGTAGTTGCCGCTACCAGAGGAGATTAGAATGCAGAGAAGATCTGCCAGGTAAAGTAGGCTGTATTAAAGAAAGCAAAGAAAGGTTTTGCTGTTTATTTTCGAATAGTTTTGAGTTTCGGGTTAATCATTTTCGACACCACAGAGCCACTGTGGATGGATATGTTCCCGAAACTAAGGATCAATGCTTTTCATGACGAAGAAGTCAGGCCGGATAAAATAAGGGTGAAAAATTATTCGGAGTTTTCGTTCTGTGTTGTTTTTGAAATAAGTGTGGTTATTCGACGCCAGAATTGTCGTTGTGAGGAATATTTATTGGGAAACTTTGACAAGATTTCAATATCGAGCGCCCGGGAGAAGCTATAGTCGTTAAGTAGCTAGAAGTTCGAATATTCCTGTTGAACTTCCCTTAGTAAACTTTCCATCTCTTTCATGATAGTCCATATCAGTAAGACACAAGAGGAATGATGTATCAGCATGGACTACGTGAAGTTCAACTGATCCGATGGAGGACTTGAGCCAGAATGTGCCGATGAACGAGGTGCTGCCAATGCCAAATTAGACGTTTGGAGTGCCAGCTAATAATCCAGGCTCAAATCTGAGAACCAAAGCAGAAACGAAGGCAAAGACGAATCCATCACCAGTTGATGGGCCCAAAAGGATGAACACTAGGATCATCAACGATGTCTTTGTGATCCCACGGATAATTCCGTGGCTGACCCCCGGCGAGAAATCCTTGGTATCTGCCTACCTTGTCTCGATCTAAGTAGACATCATCCGAGGAGTCGTCATCGTCATTGTCGTCCCAGCCTACCTCCATCTCATTATCAGCTGGCTTGGCAGGCTCAGGAACTGCAACATTCTCATATCTCTGGTGCGTCTCCATATAAGCGGAGATGCGCTCCTCAGAGACACCCAATTCGCGTAAAATACCTGCGCGATCCAACTCGAATGTTATAGAAAGCTCTAATTGAGTCTCTTCTTCCCAGAGCATAGTCTCTTCCCTCTTAGCCCGGACGTTGGCAATTAATTGGTCGTAATTCATTGATTCCGACTCGGCAGCTTCGGTGGCGAGTTCCACCGGGACCCTATTCCTCCGGAAGATCTCATCCGCGTTATCAACATCCAACATGATGCTATCCTCGTCTTCAGCGGACTCGGATTGAGGTATATCATCTACGGAGATGACCTCAGAGGGACCATTTTCCAACATTTCCACATCGTCATCGGATTCGGAGTCAGAGTCAGAATCATCTGGGGACCAACAGGGCTCGATGAGATTGCTTGCTTCGTCAAGTGGAGGTAAACCACGTAATAGTTTAACCTCTGCTGTAGCTTCCTTGGGACCAGAAACTTCAGCTTCAACTTGATCGTTAGCTGTGAAACTAGAAGAAGGCTGCTCCACGGATGCTTCCAAAGCATTTGCTGGAGAAAACGAAGTATCCGACGAGGAATGCTGATTGTCCTTCCTTGCGAAAGCAGCCTCAAAATCAGCTTTAAACTGATCCTCCAAAGCATCTTCATCAAGTTCGTCTTGCTCCTCTAGAGACTCAATGGACTCCAATTGAACTTTCTTCGCGTGGTCCTGTTGAAGTACCTCGATCTCAAGCTCCCGATCCAAATCAAGTTCCAGTTCATCGAAATTACCCTCTTCAAAAGGGTCAGAAAGAACTGGAGTTGGTACTGGGCTGACCTTTTTGGTCACGACAACATCATCATCCGAGTCTGGATCCTCAACGGATGCATCCGAGCTATCGGATACATAGCCTCGTTCATATGTGGCAATGACTGATGGAATTTCAGTCATGCGATTCTGTGGAGGGACCCCATCCTCAGTGTACTTAGGAGAGTCAATGCCAGTAGCAATCCAGGGCTGCTCTGTCAATGCACCACTATCTGCTGAGATGTGTGGTGAAGTAATTGATGCAGCTGATAGGTTCTTCAACTGCTGTCCAGCTGATTGCTGTGGTTCCTCAGCCTTAAAAGCCTCTTCGAAGTCAATCTCTAGATGATCAGAGTCTCCCTCTTCGACATCGTCAGAAGTTGCCAAGTTTGGCGATGATGGGGCTTTGGTGGTCTCAACCGCATTCTCATATGCGTTAGACTCATCGATCTTTCCAACAGACTGCTCTGACTCGTCATTTACCTCGACAGCTTGCGATCTAGCTCCTTCGGGGACTCGATCAATCTCTTGCTGTTGTTCCTGGACTACAGCAGCAGTCTTGGGGTCGAGTCTAGCCATGCAACCATCAAAGTCTGCCTTCAACAATGTATCTTGTTCAGAGTCCAACTCGACCGCGGATTCTGGCTCCTTCAGCTCCTCCACACTCTCTCGCTCAGTGTTTTCCTGCATCTCACTTGCGATCTTCTCTTCTTCGATCTGCTCGAGACGCTTTGCAGGTTTTCTTTCGACAATGCGAGAAAGTGTTGGCGGTGAAAGTCTGTTGACGGAGGACTTCCTTGATGCTAGCGTAGATGGAGCCACGCTCGATGTCTTCGAGCTCCGAGAGCTACGAGACACTGTTCTTGCTGCCACAGTGGATGGTACTGATGAAGATGATTGAATAGTCTCAGCGCCGGAAGCAGCAGAAGTACCTCGACGACGGGATTTGATCCTGTCGGATACGCTGGTGAAATCCCGAGGTGGACTCTGGGTAGACTCAGCTGTCATCGTCGACGCTTTAGTCAAAGGTCTGGTAGAGGTGGAAGTACCCGAAATAGTTCGGGATTTCGATGTGGTAGCCGTCACTGTCGTAGATGACGGAGCCTGCAATATGATTAGTCTTGCATCAACTTTTGTAAAGATGAAAGACTACTTACCTTTTTCTCGGCCTTTTTGCTGACTTCCTTCTTCTCGGAAACAGATGCAATCTTTGCCGGACCTGCGAGTGCCTTCTTTGGTGCTACCTTCTTCTTAGAAGGTTGTGGAGCACCGAACGTCATCACCTTTGGAGCGTTAGGATCTAGACGATACTTTGTCTCCTTTACAGATGGAGTGCGCTTCGCAGGAGCCTGCTTAGCAACGTTAGTAAGTTCTGGCTCATTGTTCTAGAAGAATAATGGAAAGTTGAAGAACTTACCGGAGCACTCTCCTTTCGCCTCTTCTGGGATCTATCAATTTCCTCTTCAGAGACTTCTTCGGCTTCTCTTGCACGCTTTCCTTTGGATGCTTGAGCGTTAGAAGAGTTACCTCCCTTGTGCATTGCCTTTTTAGCTCCAGTAGCTTCGGTCGTCTGGCGCTTTCTGGCTGGGGCAGCAATCTCCTCTCCTGAGCTCTCGTCGGCTTCTTCTGCACGTCTATGCTTAGACGAGGGTTTGCTTGAGGACGATCTTGTCTTAATACCAAGTATCTTCAAGTCATCTTCCTGTAGGAATTATCAACATATTAATCTTTCTACCGAAGATACTTGGAGGCATGAGCATAATATACATACCTCTTTCTCTTGAGGAGTCATGCGCTTACGACGGCCTTGTGGTGCCTCGCTTTGGACCTTTTCGACGCTCGTGTTCATATTGTTTGACACCTAGAAAGTATTGTCAGCGTTTTATCATTCAAAAAACCTGCATCCAATAAAGAAGTCAACAATAGAGAGTCGTCGTCCAGTACATACCGTTTGGTCTTTGGTGCTCTTGGATGCGCGAGAGGAAGTGGACACAGATGACTTAGCCTTGCTGGATGTCTGGTAGTTACAGTCAGTATGTTTTATCCTGATGCTGGTTCGTTCTATTGTTCATGTCTATATTCATGTTCACAAAGAAATAGATACAAAAAGTCAAGGAGAATCAACTTACAGTCTTTTCTGGAACAGGTCTTCGGAGTTTATTGTTCTTAACCAAGCGATTGATGTACTCATCATCGCTGGTAATTTCCCCTTCTTCCTTCTCTACTCTCTCGCGCTTCTGTTTCTCAGCAGCAGCAACTTCCTCGGCGGCTCTTTTCTCGGCCATCGAGGTTCCTGTCTTCTTTTTGATGCGTGGAAGGGAGTCCAAGGATGGGACGGGGACGGCAGAACTCTAGATATAATCATTAGCACAAAAGACTAGTCATATATGCTAACAATAGATTGCGAAGACGTACCGATGCACCAGCTTGACTAACCGACTCTTCGGTAGTTTTCGCGTCAGCTTTTGTGGCCATCTATAGGTCTCGTTAGTATCCGAATATAACGATATTATCACATCACAGGTGGAAGATGAAGTACTTACGTCGAGCTCCTTCTTCTCGGCTGCTTCACGACGTGCTTCGAGGGCATCGAGTGCCTTCTTTCGTTGTTGAGCCTATCCAGTTAGCATTTCATTGATTCATTGATTTATCTCATTGTATAAGACGACGGAGAATCGAGATTTCGAAACAATCAAGAGTCAGAGTGCATACCTTTTCGTTGTTTCGTTGAGAAGGCATTTCGTTTGATGTTTTATTAATTTGAAAATTAATAGTTGTTGGTGATTAAATAGAATGATGTTACTTCAGAGAGTAATAAGTGTTGATGATCTTAAGAGTAAAAGATAACAAAGGTTGGTATGGAAAATTTATTCTGTTGGAAAGACTTTGGTTTGAGAGTGTTCTTTAGAATATGAATGAAATGTTGTAGAGAATATTCGAAGGATCGTTCGTGGGAGATCTTTCAAGCACGAAAAATATCTTGCTACAGCAAACCAATCTCGCTACGGTTTCGAGAAGCCTCTTCGATCTTGGTTATCGAATGAATATCTGGTATTCACTGCCCGGAAGCTGTATTAAGATTGAGGCCGAACAGGAACGAATGGTTGAATCAGTTGGTCAACCAGCCTTCCAAATTATGTTTCTACGGCTACTACAATATTACTACAAGAGGAGATTCGATGCTCGTTACCTCCAAATCCGTACTCAATATGTATATGTGATCAACATCGGATGCGGTACTGTAGCCGAACGAACCTATTAATGAATTGAATTGGAAGAAATTTCGGACCGACTTTGATATTCACTTTTTCTACAGCCGACCTGGCACTGACCCAAGAAGAAAGTAATCTCATCTTCGATTGAATATCCAAGTACACTACAAAAGGCACGAAGCATTCTGGTAACTACCAGAAGCTGACCCGTAGGAGTCATCTCCTAGAACCTCCAGCGAGAGTGCAAATATCTTTAAAGTCCATTGACACAACTCGAGAGTCGAGATGCTTCTGTTGTACAAAGAGTTCCATAGAAAAATATATATATCGGACATTGATAATTCTGATGGTTGCCTGATTTTCAAGAACAACCGGTAGTATAGATATTGTCCCTGTCACTTCGCCATTCTCCAGTGTACCATGCGTCGCGCTGTTATTTGAAGATAGAGAGATCGCAGGATGCCTTGAGATCCCTGAATTTGAAGGAACAACCAAGTACCATCAAAGCCCAATTTCTCCATTGTTCTAGATTCTAGTCCACCAGCGTCGTCCAAGCGGTCTCAAATGTTCTCCCACTGTCTAATATAATCCCCGATCTATATAATTGTAAAAATAATTCCTCAACACCAGCCTCAACGATAGGAGATGGTGAAGTATATAATACATTCTTTCGCTTTCATCCCAACATCAGTTGCGTTCTTTGACACCTTGCTATATAATTTGATTATATTCGAGGTGTCAGTACATAGATTGAGGGGACTGATGCCTTTAAGTAGAAGAAGCTGGCCTAGATCGGCTTACTAGACGTGACGATCAAACTCAATTTGTGTATCCCAGTTTGTAGGAACGCCTTCTGGCCATTACCAACTCCTCTCTGGGAGGCTTGGACTGGATATGATCTCATCACTGCAACAATGTCAATTTCCCACTTTTAGTTTTCTGGTTGGGACAACTTTAGTTCTCTTGTGCTTCATTGGTCATCGCAGACCTAATCGTCTTCTAGCTAGTCAACGGGACCCAAAATTGAGATGTTGAACCTCATTTGTCACCATTGCTTGCTCTCTCTTATTATGAGATATGTAGACACATACTCAAACACCATAGCGATGAACTAGCGAATGGTAGATTGTATCCTAGTACTTTTCTAGAGGACTAATTGAGAGTAATTTCTATGCTTTGAGGAGCGGAAGTCGCTTATCTACAGACCACTCGGTCGACTCATTGTATAGCTTTCATCTAACGATATATAAACAAATTCGGCAAAATTTCCTCGAATGCCATTACTCTGCTATTATGTGTTCAGTACAAAATGGACCAAACCTAGATTTCAGAAGGACAAAAATGACATGCATCGATTTCTGATCAAAATAAATACGAGTATATGGGATAGGATATCTCGATTCCACAACTTCACTGACAGGTGCGAGTAGTGTCCAGCGCTCGAATAAATTCCTATGCTTTCAAGCACGACTCGAGAAACATCTTATATTAAATTTAAATCTAGCCCGAGCTGTATCGAATTATGGTATAAAGCAGAGGCTTCTGGCAAATCTGAGGTATATTAATAGTTTGGTCACGTTTGCCAACAGAACTCATGAAGCCCGACGAAAGGCGTAGCAAGACGCCATTTTCTTTTTAAGAATTGCTAAGTGTGTGCAATATCGATGCTTTGCTCCAAATTCTAAATCTGGGTGGGAGTAGCTCCGAAGCCAAAACCCTTAAGAGAACACAGAGTTTAGTCATCACGATGTTGATTGGTTGATATCTCAAACTAAGTAACCAATATACGGTGACCGGTTTCCTTTTTAATCTGCCTAGAGCCATGGAAATTGGCGAAATTCCTTCCTTTCCATGCACATTTGAATTGAAATTGGAACGAAGAACTCAAAATTGTCCCAAAGCACGCTCCACTTATCCAGTACGATTTTACAACCTTTATACCGAATGGTGATTTCATGGGATATAGGGTAAAGAGGGGTGGAAGCAATCAAATATGCTGAAATAAGCTATGAGAAGATGGTTAAAAAACCACCTCGAAAATTCAAAACCAAATAAATGATATCAGACACGAAATATGGGGGAAACGATAAGTACATTTGTTTCCGCAGCAATTTTTAAAACTCAGTTATATACATCCTACACCTTAGTAGCATCACAACTGCAACCTCTTGTTCGTATAAGTGACTATTCCCCTACAAAGCGGCCAAGATCGCATTATAAGCAGGCTTAGGAGAAAAGTTGTTGTCGAACAACAAGGGATTCGAGCCCGTACGCCACGAATCGGAATCACGAACACCCCATACCGTAATACCGACACATTTGCTCACGCTCAAACATGCTTTGACGACCTATTCAATCATTAGCTTTCACGACTGACAATAATCGCCACTCGACTTGTTTCCACAAAGTTCAAGGTTCAAGGTTCAAGAAAGGAACTTACGTTGACATAGTCAGCAGAAGCCGCTCCCGCGATATCCAATTCCGTAACCGCGACCTCACTGACACCAGAAGCCGCAAGCGCATTCAAAGCACCTAATGCAGCAGCTCCTTGGCCTGCTTGGAGATGAGTCTGCGAACCAATGCCATCGATGGGAATTCCCTGGGCGATCCATTTCTTGACATGTGCGGCCATGCCGGTCGTGACTTTGGAATAAGTTCCTGAATCTAGACTGTGGGGTTGTGTTAGCTTCAAATGTGAGATGATCGGGGAGGAGGGGGAAAGTACTTGTAGTCATTGATGTAGAGCTTTGCGTTGGGGTCAGCTGCTCGAGCGGCTTTGAAGGCGATGGAAACGAAATTTTCACCGAGGACGTTGTAGAAGACGCTATTTCTCAAGGAACCATCTTCATTAAAGATTTCGTTGACGACGTCCTTAGAAATGTTAATGATGTGAACAAGAGCGAGATGTGATGGCATACCCATGCATAGATTTTCCCTTTCCAGTGAGTCATCTCTTTTGTTATATGGTTTTGGAGGATTGTCGTGAGAGTCGCTGGATTTGTAACCGAGCTGACCCAGTTCGGGAGTTGTGCATGCCAACCTATGAATGTAAGCTCTCAATTTCAAATAAATGAGGTTAAAGATAAAAGTGGGGTGACAAACAGAGTGTGTGGCCGCGAACGATCTTTGAATTAGATGACGCCCAATTTACCAAGTAATCGCCACCAGCAAAATTGAAATTATTTTGTGATCCTACAAATTGTCAGCGCATGCCTCCAACAATACTGGTGTATATTTACCCTCAATAGCATCCCATTTCATGCTATTCTCTGGTGTCACTTGTCCAAAATTCGCCTGAATGACAGGCGCACTGCCGGAAGTGAGACGACCTTGATCTGTAGCAACACCAAAATATTTCTTCCCATGGGCAACGAATTTGGCATTGATACTGCTGCCAGTGCTGGCTGGGCCTCTTGAGGTGACCAATGTCGTTGGAACCGTAGGGACGGCATCGCCAGGGATGCATTGGGAGTAATCTACATTGAAATGAGCAAAGTCTATAAGTATTGCTGGAGCTTCAACATACAGGTGCTGTAAACTTGTTAGCTTCATCCATAGTTCTTATATAGGTACATGCTCACTTTGAAGATGTGCAAGTATATCCTGTTACACAGGTTGTAGCTCCATTCCAACCAGTACCGCCACCTACAAATATCAGTCCATGATTTGTGCTTGCTAAGGTAGGTAGACTTACATTGACCCCAACCTTGACTCTGTGCCAGAGCCAGATTAACATGACTTAGCAGAGCAGCAAAAGCTGCAATGTTACAAACTGTAAGCATATTGTTGTCCTATTGAAAGGTTTAATGAATCAATGAATGGGAGTGTCTGGAGATGAGAGATAACGAGCAAGAATAATGGCACGAGAGTCTTCAGTTATATACCCTCTCGACATCAATGATTCCATTTATGCTTGTATGCCAAGATGGGAGAAAGTAACAAATTGAATACTCGTACAAGCATTGGTGAATCCAGACTTCTAGGATTAGCAGCAGCGCCATCACGCAAAGGACAACTCTCCCGTTCTTCCGCATGTATAGAGATAACTCTCCCGCTCTTCCGCATGTTACATAGGCTGATATCAAACACTCCATTTTTGACAATCATCAACCAAATGTATGACAACTCGTGATGTTGAGATCATAATTCTTTCGTGTAATTTAGGGGCGATGTTAGGCACCCCGCAAATACCAAGATGGGGTGGAGAATACCTTCTACCTTAATTAAAGAGCCTAAATTGAGAATATGTGGGACATTCTGGGTATATGACAACACTTGTTGTATTAGTAGGTATGGTTTATAGTGCTGCCAAGCTATAATCTAGCTGAGTTATGCCTTAATTTTAAGCTTCCATGACTATATTGATGATTACTATGGGGTTGTTTTAACCTAATTGCAGGCTATTTCAGCATGTTTCCGAAGATGCCAACAACCTAAGACAAGTTTTCGGAAATGATCTGCTTCGGATAAATTGGTTTTACTGCAATACAGGCAATGTTTTTACATCACAGCCGCCTGTGCATTGAACACGAGGTATTGCAAGAAAACGTCCCTTCAAACCTCCACCTGAGTTGCAATCTCCCTATGAGGGTAAATCTACCGAACTTGCAACGGTACAGATATTAGGCTTATAGTCAAGTGATAGAGAGTGATAGAGAACCAAAAAATGCATTATGCAATCTACAAACTTTAGTTTGTTTTCTGCAAGGGAGAAAACCCAAATACAAATGGTTTGCTGGTTTTGGTTGAAGATAAATCCAATTAACCGCGCAGACCCGGACCGGTACTGTAGCTTGCGGGCCTGGACCCGGAATTCCGCTGATAGTATCCGAGCCTTGCAACCCTCAAAAAACTCAATTCTGACTTTTAAGGGTATCGTCAAGTTCGAATCATACGGTACACAACTATCGCTGTATACAAACGCAATGAGAAGCTTCCAAATCGCTTTGATGAGCTTGACTACCGTGGCTTGTAGCTCACAGAGTCCGCAGGGAATGGACTGATCAAGCAGGAACAATAATAAGGACAATGTCTAAAAACGATGATCGACCAGGAAAATTTGCGCAGATAACTACCGAGAGCAATTTATATGGCACAATCGATAACATTTTTCATACCCCATTTATCCAACCCATGTCAGCATCCTTGATTCGTATATGCAGGGTATAAGGTTAGCATTGTGCTGCGAACAATCTCATGAAGCCTCGATTGCACGGCATCACAACACCACGACACCACGACACCACGACCTCTCGATACCTTTCTAGTATAGAATCCAAACGCAACAATAAACACAATGGCAGGGTATGCCATATGAGATAGAAAGTCTGTACTGTATATCCTCTGCGGGAGGCATTCGATACCTGTCTGACAAGCCCTTTTCCCTTCGGCGAATGATACGGAGTATATCCAGGAGCAGAATTCGCGACTCCAATCTCATTATTGCGTGTAGCAGCTGTGTGTGAGAAAGATCTGTCGTTGAATTAAGGTGAAGCTAGAATATATGTTGTCAGATTGAAAAGGATCGAAGAAGGACATTGGATTGATCAGGCCGGTCAAAAACGGTAGGCACGAAGCGTGAGTTGTTTTTTTGCAATGGAATGTTGCCATACAATATCGCTGTGTGTACCTATATAGATATATTCAAAGACACCAAAGTTCGAAGGTTAAAAGAGATCCGTAGATTTATTCTTTTCAAGCCTGTAACACATGCCTGAAGAATGTGCGCCCTGTGTGTGAACTTAGAAATGAGACTGGTTCTATAATTGATGTTCGATTTCAACCACTGCAATAGTCAAGTAACGAAAATCGCACCATATGGTCAATCAATACAAAACAATCCTCTTGGAGAGCAATCTAAAGATTACCAATTCTGAGTCTTTGAGAGGTTATTACGGTTCACTCAGAAATCTTCAACTAAATCTTGAGCTAACAATAGAATCTTAAAATTAGTCTGGTTCATCATGAATAAGCACAACCAGGCACTTTGGCGGAGTGGTTAACGCGATGCCCTGCTACTGTACAAAACAGAGTCAGGCATTTCCTTCGGGAGCGAGTGTTCGAATCACTCAGGTGTCGTCTTGCTGCTAAAAGACCTTTTACCTTTTTTCATTTACAAACCAAAATCTACTTTTTCATTTTGTATAACAACTTTTTTATATGGTGCTGGTGCTGAGAATTTCATTTTTGGTGATTCTCTACTCGCTTTTGGTCAATTGTGGAACCATGGGATGGAAAATCCTTGTTCGGATGCGGGGTCAGATGGCAATGAACCCCTTTTTCAAATTCGCCTGTCTACAATAAGTACCTAGGCTTTGTACTTTACTCAAGTATTTCGGGTTGTGATATTGCTTGCTAGTTGCTATCAATACTTATGATAAGAACGCATTCCAGATGTGATTAGAAGAGCAGTCTAGATATACTATATTAGTTTTGTTATTTGCTACTTATGCTGCCAGAAAGTTTGCAACTCGGGAAGTTAAAAACTAGGCTATTCCTGTTGTAATTTACCATTGTATAACACGTGCTAGCTTACCCGAGTTGGAACTTGGAGGAGGCATCTTCGAGTGTTGATGAGGAATAACTGATGGCTTGCTGGGAAGGAACTCTCGGTAAGTGCGCTGCAGACAGGAGGACAGGAGAGCTGTAGGAAGGAGGAGAAGGATTGCACCGATGAAGCGAGCTGCGAATACTCGTGCGATAGACATTGCATTCAAGCTTTTTGCTAAATAGTAGCTGTGGGGATCTTGTGGGAAGTTATATAAAGTAGGGAATCGATCAAAACAAGACATATGTTGAAAATTAAGAGATGAAGCTGAGCAGCTGCAAAGCAGAGCTGCAGAGGCCGGGATTGGCCTATATCCCTCTGAGCTGTAGTGCATTTGAAAGCAGCCAGCCATGCAATTGCGTCTTCTATTTCCGGGAAGATGACTCGTGGGCCAGTGTCGACGAGCCGGGTACAACACGCCATTAAATCTATCACATAGAACAGGACAAGGACACCATGAGAGATGACACCAGAGAAGTGCTCGCCTACTTGAGCTTTGATCAGAGCGGCAAGAACGGCGTGCAAATGGATGCTGGGGCCTAAGATTCTTTGAGCCTCAATACTACTTTGCCCTTTCCACTTGTCATGACCCCTGAAGCTGGAGGTAACCCAAGGGATTACATACCGGTATTCAATTTGACTGTGGAGATCAAGCTGAGGCTATGAATGACGATGTTGAGGTGCCGTATTGCAGTGTTGGTGCGTGGTGCGTGGTGCGTGGAGTATAGTTCTATAGTGGGTGTTATTTTTCTGTTTGACATGTGAAATGAGCTAATTCTTTTCTAGAACCGCAATATGGATTGTTTCTTTAGATGTTAGGGAAATTGCGATGCGAATGTGTTATCATCATTTTGTTTGGTAGACGATGAATTGAGATGTCCCTACCATCCGTTATCTCCTACAATTGAGAGTCGCTGTGATTAATGTGGTTTGGGATTTCCAATGATTCGAATAAATTAAATTTGTATCAAAATATACAAATATTAAGTTCTGCAGCTCCACGTAAATGACGATCCCAAAATACAAATCATGCCCCACAAATGATACCTAGCTCCTTGCTTATACCACACTAAAACCACTCCAACCAAGCCGGCTCACCCACCTCCATACTCTTCTTCATAACCAACATCATCCTTACACTCACACTACCTTCCATTCCACCACAATCATACATCTATTTCTTACAAGAACTAAACTTCTGTTCAGCATTCAACCACCCAGTCATTCTGTTCGCGATATCGGTAACATAACTAGGTGTAGCACCTTGCGGATCATTCAAATCACTCTTCTTAACCTGCCCAGAGTTATAATATCTAGCTGCTCCATAGATGTTTCCATATTGGTTGATACCTTGGACGAGACCGTCGCCTTTGGTTGTGCCTTGAGTTCCATCGACGATCATTTGGTGAATAGATGCTGCTTGAGCTGAAGCGGAAGCGGAGTTGCCGACAAATTTGACACCAGCGACGGATTGCATGAGACCACTGGGAAAGTGTTAGATTTTGATTGTAATGTAAGGGGTATGGAAGAGGACATACGGGTTATCAGGTTGACTTGGGTCCGGGTTTTTGCTAGTGTCGATATTGACACATCCACTGCTCTCCTGCAAAATCGTGGCGTAGATGAATCTTGGATCCACAAAACTAGCGCTTGCAACCGACAAGATCGAGTTATACATGTCCTGAATTTGAGTTGGGCTATCACCAGACCCAAAGGCGCCAGTATTGGCACACGATTCTTTGAGATATGTGGTAGATTTATTCCACATACCATCAAAGGAGACCCATTTGGACGATGGTGGGAATGACTCCCAGCTACCTGAGTAGCAAGTATAAGTGTCGGTGCCTTTCCCAACACCATTGCTGATGGTAGAGCTTGGTTCTTTGTTGCCGGCGCCGGAGGTGAATGCGGCGGCGAGAGTTACTTTTGCATTGGCAGGAGAAGTGGAAATACCGCGAGCATCCAAAGGAGCAGCAAGATTTGTGGTGACGAGGCAGGCTGCCGTGATGAGAAATTGTTGCATATGCATGATGGAAAGATGTCGAATGAGAGACTATGTGAAAATTCAAATAAAGATTTGGTAAATTAGAGTAGAGAAGATGCAATGAAAGCTGCTGATAATGACAAAATAAGTCGTGCAATTCCCCTTATATATACTCAAGTATATGTATGTATACATATCAATAACTTCAAAATAATCTTTAAGGTTGAATCCCAAAAAGATGTTATCAAATCATCTTGCATGATCCGCAGTAAGCAATTACGAGACCCCTTGTTGCACGAGGAGATCGTTTGCGAATCCACTCTGTTGACAGTCCATCATATCTTGCGAAATCGATTAGATACAGAGTCAAGAAGGAATATATGTCTCTCAATTGTATAATTCGGTGTAGCTTTGGAGCATTCAGGGGTGTTGTGTTGCACGAAACGCTAATCTCTGTTGGGTAGCTGCTCGTAGCTGCTCGTAGCTTTCGTTGCACGAATACAGAAAACTAGCCTGACTAATGTGGGGAATTCCTTCCCGTGGTAACCAAAAGAAACTCTGGTTTAATTCTGTTCATGTACTCGAGTAGTCCGAGTACCAATTCTAAAAATGGGTTCATGAGGATTGCCATGTTAAAGCCACGGAAGGCTCACAAACGGACGGGATAGAATTGTGGGGTCCAACACCAAATATTGTAACGCTCAACAGGTCCTAGAATTTCGACGGATATCTTGAAGGTAACAATGAGTATCTGATAGTCAATTCAAACGAACTTTCGTTAATCTAAAACAATACTGAGAATTTCTAACAGTTTGAGCGTTTACCAAACATAGCCAGAATTGCACTCAACCTACATTCAAATCATGACCTTCGTGACTTAAACTGGACGGTAACTGTGCCCCTTACAAATAAGTATTTCGGTGACATAACTTCATGCCATCCGAACTGAGTAAGGTCTCTTGTCCCGATTCTCGTAGCGCAATGTAACCCCAAGCTCTACTGATGCTGATATAAGAATCCATCGCTGACAAACGCCCGTAAAGTTAAATGAGCATTAAGACCTACTAGCCAATTCAGTGATGACCACGGGAATAGCGAAGTAGTTACTCGATATGGTTGTTGAAGGATTAAGGGAATCCGGATGTCAGATCTTTAAATGATGTTGTTCCAGGAAAGTCTTTGCTCACTGCTCACTGGTCAGAGAATTTTATTTTCGGGTATCGTGGCGCTAGAAATGATGCGCAAGCCACAGGTACTAGTCAGCCCTAACGCCCCCCAAACGCCACAACCGCAACCACAGAATACCCTACAACAATCCTTCTATACTCCGATGCCACCTTGTAGGATCTCCGATAGGATTCTCATTTCCCATCACAGAGATCTATCAATTGAGCGTCATGGTCAGATCAATTGAACTCTGTGTGTGATGACATCTGGGAATTTCATGCGAAGCGGCTGAATTGAAGGAATATGTAACTGCACACATATGGTTTGCGCATGTTGAGTATGGAAAAGCGAATGAGCTTCATGGACTATGTAGGTGTGTATAGTATTCTGAGCCTCGATTGAATGGGGTTACGGTCCTCTTCACAAGACAATTACTCTCGAGTAAAAAGTGTAAGAATGCCATATATGTTGCCATTAAGCATTTTCTGTTTGTATCATCTCATCTTTCTACTCTCATTTAATAGAGTACTTTACTAGCTTAGTTCTCGAGTTCATTCATTTCAGTCCTTACATCTTAATTTTACCATGAAGTCATTCTCTACCTTTTTTCTTTCCAGCGCTGCCATCGTCACGGCAGTGTCAGCTTTGGCTACTCCACAAGTGCCTGTCCAAAAACGAGGTAATCAGTTCCTGTCTTTTACAAAACTCATGACTAACCCAATCTAGCTACAGTCAATGGTCTTCCTACGGGTGGAGTAGTGTCTAACGGCGTAGCTTTCGGTTTCCTTCCATCAGATGGCTGGGAGGTGGCTTCTCCAGCCTATACCATGGCTCAAATAAACAGTAAACTCGGCGGGAAAGCAAGTACCTATGGCTGGTATGCGCAGATATCATCTACCGCATTCACTGGATCTCAACTTCTCCAACGTCTTGATGATGTTGTTTCGTCTGGTGCTGTGTTCCAACCGGCGGTTATGCCAACTATTCCTTTTAGCGAGGTGACTAGCAGTGTGGCTAGTCAGGTCGCAGCTGTGTTGGAACAATTCACGGCAAAAGGGGTAGAAGTCTGGTTGCGATTCAGTCATGAGATGAACTACTATGTCGTTAGTCTTTTATCCTAAGCTTTTCTTCCGTTCCGATTAACATTTGACTAGACGGATGGTACATACCACGGAACAGCAGCCGAATTCATTGCCGCATGGAAGAATATCCACGCCGCTGTCTCCAAAAACCCAAAAATTAAAATGTACTGGTCCCCCAACGTCGATACTTCATCTGCCCCCGTCGCCCCATACTGGCCCGGAGCATCCTACGTCGACGTCGTAGGTGTCGATTGCTACCCCACATCATCCCCTCTCTCCCCCTCCGCATTTTCGAGCTGCTACAGTAACTTCTACAAAACCTACTCCGCTGCAAATAACATCCCATTTGCTATTGGCGAGACAGGATATGCTGGATCTTCTGGAAATGCTGCATGGATTAGCCAATTGGTCAATCAGGATATGTGCGATTATCCAAATTATATTGCGGCATCATGGTTTGAGTACAACAAGGAGACAGACTTTTTGATTGTCGAGGGTAGTTCATCGATTCTGTCTTCTTCCCGACAACTACTCTTGCACAACCCGAAGACGGGTTGTGGTTCTGGTAAGATATTTCTTGTGTTCAAGCAAGGATAATTGAATACTGACTTGAAATATAGCTGGAAATCCCACATCAACCACACTTGCGACTAAGACCGGTAGCACAACTTCTACGAAGGTTCCTAGTCAGACCGGTACCTGTACTTGGGGGTGTAATGGGTGGGACTGTAGCGCATTCAGTCCTTGCAACTCTGATTATACTTGTATGAGAGGTTATTGTCACTAGATAAGAATCCTCTACTCGAATAATAGGTACGCTTGGAATTGTAGTCGACCTACTACTCAGAATATCCAATACCCTATGTTATCTATAGCCATAGATAGATGAATGATAATCAACCACATCTACTCAACAAGAACAATTTCACTCCTATTGTCTCTCACTCTCCATCCTTCCTTCTTCCCCTTAATCCCCAATGATTGCCTCGCTAAAGCCACAAATTATCCTCCCAACTCCTCAACTTCATCCCAAACACCTTTTGGTATTCTTTCTTCTAACTCCAAATCATCCTTGCGAAGAACATCGCTGATGTTCTTTGATGAAAACTGGCCTTCAAAGATTATGCAACGTTCATCCAGATATTTGTAAAAGAGTTTCTCAGCCCTCAAAAAAGACCGGCCGAAAATATTCGGCAAATCATGCCAAGCATTTACAGCCCCTTTATTTATGGTGCGGGATACATTTTCCCAATCCGGTTTGAGCTGTGGCATTATACATGACGAAGTGTTTTACACTTAAATGATGAGAATTGGGGTTTTGGTCCAATACACAATAATGCTATTGTAGATTGTGAAATCTAAAACTGGAGAACATAATGCTTAGGCATGAAAGCGGAGTTGAGCGTGATGGTTTTGTCATTGCTGAAATTCTATCTAAAACATTTTGATAGTGGTACATAATGTGAAAATTGCCATACTCTTAATCCTACTGCTTTTCGCTTCTCTCCTTTTACGAAAGTTTTATATACCATGTATGCTCAAACGGTCTTTGAACTACTGAGATCAAAGCCTGGTAATTCTTATGCACTACATCCACAATTTGATAAAATCCGTCCAGAGTTCAGCCGTATGTACAGCCTGTGCTGGAGGAAGTAGCAGGTTGTAGAATTTGTCAAATTCGGTCAAAGCTGCGTGGATGCCTTTGTAAATTTATCCTACACATGTCAAAGTAACAATACCGAGGGTTTCAATTTTGCAAAAAGCGAGCACCTCCTCGGCTGCATAAGGAGATTCCTATTTTAAAAAACGTGGAGCAATATCAACCAATGCTGTAGATGCAGTTTTATCAGCGGTGGAAAGGGCACACCAGAGCTTGTCGTACTCAGATTCCGCAATTGCCGCTTCAACAGAATGTCCTATAAATTCTGCGCCTTGTGCGGGTGTCAAACCAACGTTCTCGAAGGAGGTCGTTAGACCAGTGTCTGACCCAAAACCAAACCAAGTCTCGGATCCCCAATTGCCCCATCTCCATGCTGCCCAGCCTAATCGAAAAACAGCAGGATAAATTTGCATGCAATGGCACAGATTCGAGACTGTCAATAATTCAACTCACTGAAAAGTGTATCGGCAATACATTTATTCAATGCTGGTCCAGCACCAATCGACAATCAATCGGGAACGAAAACACATCCAGTCTGAGCCTTGATGTCGACCCAATCACCAAAAGAATCCGGACCCTCGAAATTAGAGACAAATGGCTGTCCGTTTAGTGATGGTACAACCCATTTGATGCATAATATTGTATGAATTGAATGACATCAGCTTTTCGCCATGGCCCGTTTCCTGCATAATCGAAGGAGTAAAACAACTGAAAACCTATACTGTCAGCAGCAGCGAAAAGCCATATTTAGTGCGAATGCATCAATGTGAATGTCCGTTGCTGTCTGTATATTTGTCTCCCATCGCTCTGAGTAAAATATTGAGTGTTTCCAACCTAGAATATGGTCAGCGCCATTACTTGAAACTGCAGCAGCATAGTCGTATATACCATGAAGTGGGCAAAAACTAAAACTGCGGCTGCTTATACTTGGCATGGGACGAGCAACGCCGTGAAGATATGTAGCCATTTCATTATGCCTACAGTACATCAACTGAAGTTCTTGATCTCAATGCATAGAAAATCTAATCTCATCCATATAATATAGCCTTGATATCTTTCTATATCATAATTATGAATAACCCCTATATAGCTAATAAATGATAGCACTCATATTATAATAGGGAAACAATATTTTATCCCCGAACTTTATCTTAATCTTCAAATATTTGAAACTTTATAGAATTATTAATAATCAATATCCAAAGATTTATTATATGAAATCAGAATAATAACATTCCAATTAAAATCTATAAAATATAAGAATGGCTTTGATTTCAACGATTTTAAGAATAAAATGAAGACCCGAGATAAAATGTTGTTTGCCCACTATAGTATGAACACCATCATTTATCAATTATAGAGAGATTATCTAAGATTATATCCTCCCTAGCATTAGAAAGTCATATAGACTATATCAAATACAAGGAAGATATTTGTAAGGAATCCCGAGATAGCAATTCCGGTGTTGACATTATCTGTATATTCAAAAATGTTGTTTGCCTACTATAGTATAAGTACTATCATTTATCAGTTATAGAGAGACTATCTAAGATTATATCCTCTCTGGCACTAGAAAGCCGGTCTTGAATACTAAGATATGTATATTATTATAGAGATACCTTGATTCAATAACTAAGTCGATATAGACGATATCAAATACAAGAAAGGTATTTGTATGGAATCCCGAGATAGCAATTCCGGTGTTGAGATTATCCGTATGTTCAAAAATGTTGTTTGCCCACTATAGCATGAGCACTATCATTTATCAGTTATAGAGAGGGTATCTAAGATTATGTTCTCCCTGGTATTAGAAAATCAGTCTCGAATACTAAGCAAGATACGCATATTATTATAATTTATAGATATACCCTCAGGCTGATTCAATAATCAAGTCGATATAGACTATATCACAAGAAAGGTATTTGTGAGGAATCCCGAGGCAGCAATTCTGATGCTTATTTTGTTCCACCGGCAAAGATATAATCTGATTGCAAGTAAAGGTGAACATAATCGTAGGTAGCCCCTCTTAAGCTTTAATATGAAGGTGCTCATGCTTAAGTGGGCGAACGTCATTTTACACGGGAATCTAACTTCATGCCAGTGCTTCAAATTTTCAAGTTGATATACTCAAAATCTAAGATCTTCATATATTTGATATTTTTGATATAAATTAGTATTAATCAATAACAAATAATATCAAAAGAATTCAAAATATATAGGATTATAGAACTTGACTCAAGGATTCGAATAATATAATTTTTTATTCGATTTGAATTAATATATCTTGGATTAGTATCAAATAAATTTCAATGATTTCCTCCTGGATTATCTAATCAAAATCATCAAAACCTATTTCAAAATCAATATTTTGAATTAAAATAATATCATTAGCTTTTCGAATAAATATTCGACACTCTATAGGATTAAATATTCAGAGATTTATTATTTGAAAACAGAATATTGATATCTCTATTATAGCTTATAGAGTATAGGAGTAGCTTCAATTTTGATGAATCAAAGCGTAAAGTGACGTTCCGGCGTAAAATGACATTTGCCCACTTTAAGCATGAACGCCTTCATATTGAAGCTTAATAGAGGCTATCCACGATTAATATGAAGGAGACTATAATACCAGTGGATACAACTGATGGTAGATATAACATTTCGCTTAATACCTGGAGTTTAACAGCGTCTAATCAAAGGAGTCCATGGAGGTCATGTGATGATGAGAGGTTCGTAACTATATATCGGTTCCTATGTCGGACGATTTACGTTGTACCGATTAATCTTGAGATTCGAGCGTGAATAAGGACTCCTCAATCTCGAATGAATGCTTGTGCCGTATTTTCAAAGAGTAGCTTCACTCTACAAGAACTATATATACGACCAAATAGATAGTTATCTGAGAGCTATACACATTCATCTGTATTTAAAGCAAAAGGAGACGATAGGAGTGTGGATGGCAATGCGGAAAGAGGAGGACACAGGAAGTTTAGCGAATGAGGAAGAAGGGAGGGGAAGCCAGGTGATGACTTATCTAGCTGAGGTGTATAAAGTAACATTCCTAGCTAAGGCTGGCTCGTGGTGCCTTTACGCTCTTCCCAGAGAACACTATGTTTAACTGGTAAGATTAGCAGGGGCTACAAGTTAACGTAGTGACCTAATATGATTGCTCGCACAATCATAAAAATTTCATTAAATTTAAGGTAATGATTCCGTCGAAGAACGTTTGGGAATGGGGAATAAAATAGAAACGCGAAATCAAAGCTACACGCTCATGGAGCAGACGGGACTTTTGTGGTAATTGCGTTTTCTAGATATTGCTAGACTAACGATGCAGCTTTGCTTAATGTATAATGGTGCCAGGATCTTCCCCAGAATAGCACAAAGTATTGAAAACTCTTGGGAGACTTGTTGTGCTTGGGTGATTGAAGTGATGGCCGATCAATGTCTAAAAGAGGTGGATTCACTCCTTTGCTACATGCCTAAAGCTCCATTGCTTCCATTGATCGTCAGTCATCCCATAATAAATGGCATCCGTCTCTGCTGCCTCTTTATAGCCGGGCCTGGTCCTATACTAAAAATTAGCACAATTCCGAGACATATGCGGAACGCACGAGGTAAGTACAAGGTGAGGGAGCCATACACCATACCGAGTTAAAAGCGACGCGATAAACACATGAATTTGATTTTTGGCTGCGTATCCCTCGTCCAACCTGTAAGTTTGTATTTCATCTCACACTTTAGAATCTTCCGAACATCACGGTCGTCTAAGCTCTCTAAATTATCCCAGGGTATTCTGTATGTAATTGGGTGGAACGTAACGTTTTCATCGATCTGCTCAACTCTCTCTTTGGTGGTATGAATACTTCTATGCGCGAAAATGACCTCCTTCAAACCGGGCCATCCAGTACGGAGGCTCGGGAGCTTATCAATGTGCATACCGTGAAGCGGATGTAGAAAGCGAGCAGCTTCAGATTCAAACCTGGAGGAGCGACCAAATTGACTTACTGAATAAGAACAAAAAGGTCGATGCTGTACAGTTCCACACCAGACCTTCGGGTCGAAAAAAAGAGACATTGCGACACGCGAAAGTTGTTTATTTGCTCTGACCAAATTGTCGACGAAGAAGCACATTGTACCGAAGCAAGTTCTGTGCCCGAAATAGATAGTGTCAATGGAAGGGTCGAAGTATATAAGCCGTAGGGGTGCGTTATGTCCGTCGGGTTGATTGTCCAAACGCCATAGCTGGTATGTCCGCAGAGCCTCCTCACGAGCCTCTCTACAGATAGGATTTCGCAGAGCTGGAGGAACTCGAGAAGATTGCATTGTCGCTTTATACCCGCGGTGGTTGTCAACAAAGTGAGTAGCGTCCAATACGATCTCTATGATTCGACTTAGCTGCTGCTGTTTGAGATGGGTATTCCAGATTTTGCGACGTAATTCGAGAGGCAGTCTAGGGAAACAGTGGAATTCGGACAAGACGCCGCTGTATAACGGTCAGAAAAGGCTCTTCGCAAACTTTGAGAGTTTCTTCATATACATACTTCGATGAAGTCAAACTTTGATAGGGAGTAATTCCTAAAATCGAACAGATCTGGGCAGGTGTAGCACCAACCACCAGTTCAGGAAATGACATATCGTCACTTGCCATGATGTCGTAGTCAATGATATCGGATGGAAGCAAAGTGTTTATTAGACTAGGTGAAGTTTGTGGAGAGTAACGAGGAACAAAGTTGGTCGTTACTTAAAGTATGTGGCATTGAAAGAGGAATAAAGAACGAAGTCAGTGTTGATAAAAGCTATGTAGAACTGCAAGCGGTAACCGGTAAGCGGTAAGCGGGAGGTGGAGGTTATTATAGGCTAAGGTGAATATGTTGAAATATAATTAAATTTATGCGAAAAGCTTTCACAAAAGCGTTTCTAATGACTTGGGCTGCATATGCTTCTCGTCCACCCGTTCAGCGTCCTTAGCATTAAACGCCTGGTCAATCCATCGTGTGCGTCCTTGGCTTGCCTTGGATGGATGGTGCGACTACAAAACACTTTTTTGCTATTTTTCTGGAAAGTATATTCACTGTTTTGTGACTCCTGCAGCTTTTTGGTATTCTTTGAGTGTACCCACAAATTGTATATGAAGCTTTTGATTTGGATGGCTAAGCGAGGACAGTGAGGTACACTGTAGTATGTGTGGGGTGAATTTAGGCCGGCATAACGTCAAGATGCCACTAACACCCAGGTGATATTCAATATTTAATATTCAATTGTTTTCTATGAATCACAAGGGAGCTTCGGCCCCTGTACTACCCAAAACATCTTCAATTACGTCCTCTGGTCCTATACCATCCAGCAGCTCTCGTATGGCATCTAAGTCACTTCCCCATTGCATACTACGTTCTCTCTCCGGATTTACAATCTCGATACGATGAAGATAAATCTTTCTGGCTGCAAGAGCAATCAGAGATGGCGTAGCATATGGAAGTCCGTGTAACGGTGCAAGACATCTGACTAGCATTAGAATAAATCACTGTAAATATCCCGTATGATTCTTACCTGACTAGCTTATCAAAATGCTTTGTGGCAATTGCAGAGATACCAGTCGCTACAGCACGGTGAATCCTAAGGAATGAAGCAATATTCTGCTGATATTGCTTTATTTCGACACTAACAGTGGTGTTTTTACCTTGTTGGGCTAAATGTTCGATATCCTGAACTCAGATTAGTAACAACAACCTGACCACGTGCCTTGGATTGCTAACCATCGGGGATATTTTCGCCCACAAACTATCCTCAGCAGGTAGAGTCGGACTCCTTTTCACCACCGAAGAGGTTGAGCTTGTGTCGTCCGTGAACATATCTTCTAGGTTCGGAAAGCCATCTTGGGGATCGTGTACATGGGAAATGAACATATAGTCATTTAAATGCTTTGTCAACCTGGGGCCTTCGCCACCTGCTATGGCAGCAATGAACAAGAAGCGTTTTGGTGCACTCTGTATGGATGTCCTAGTAAAAATTCGTTTTGTTCGCATGAGCTCTAACGCTTGAATTTGTATCTGCCGCGGTGCTTCATCGAGATTCCTAGCAATAATGACATTTGCTATCCTCTTATTATCGGTCGTTTCCGGTACGGGGGATCGGTTGAGTGACTGGAAAGCGAGGTTCTGAAAGAAGTACGAGTCGTGGCGAGTCCTCACGGGGGAATTAGATCGAGTAGGAGCTGCGTCGACTGAGAGTATAGCATGCGCGAAATCGTCAAGAGTGGTATGGATGTTGCAATCGATCACAGCGTAGGTTAGGCCGAAGACTTTAGACGCGACCTGCAAAACATTAGCACATATCGAAAGCTTGGAAATGGATAGACTTACCAGCTGTAACTCCTGTACAAGGTCACCTAGAGCATCGGGATCTGTATCAATAATACAGTGCTCTTCTGCGACTAAACATATTAATGCAGCGAGCTCCAAGTCGCTGAGCTCGTGAATCTTGTTGATCAACTCCTCGTCTGCCATCAATGCATGAAGAGAATGATTTCAGCCAAAGCCCATCTCTACAAGCTCAAGAATTGAAGCACAAATTGAATGAATCACTGGCTATATCATCATAAGTTAGGGGTTGTACAAAAGTCATTGTCGATCGCACAACATTGAATGTCGTTGACGGATCACTAGTGTCAAGCTTTGACCACACCGTAAATGGGAGCTTCTTCAAGATACAACAAGGCAACTTCAAGCAACAGTAATAACCACCTCAGAGTATAATGAGTAATCATACAAGATTAAGATGACAAGTCCGACAGCAGAATGGGAGAAGGTGGGGGATAAATTCTATCGAAAGATACAGTTATATACAGCTGTATTTGATCAGGATCTGGAGCTAGAGAATTATGTGGTCACGGGATGTTCATACGGAGGAGCAATTGGTGCGTTATGATACTTCTTCTTGATTAAAAGGGCGGACTCTATCGGCAGGGCAGCTCTGTTGGTAGTCACTTGAGAGCCTGCAAAACCGGGAAGCCAACGGATATCAAAATAACCAATATTTACAAGCCGGTGAGGGGCAAATCAGGGGTGTGAGATTGAACATGTGCAGCTACATTATATCACCCGCAAGCCTCTAGGAATCATACTTCCGATGGACCTCGTGAAATTACTGAGCTGCCGAAGTCCACCTACCTTACATTTTTATCAGACTAAGAAGTGCATCTCTTCACCTGCTTATTTTACATTTGTATAGCCCTATATCGAGACGAAACGAAACTCCAAGCCTTTCGAGGATCACAGGCATCTAAATCGAGTATCGACTTGTACAGTTGTGCTGGCAAACTAATCAGAAGGATCAATTGGGACCAAGGCTCCATTAAAGGTCTCGGCTGGACCGAAGACGAAAGCCTTATAGTAGTCACAGCTGATGGAACAGTACGATGTTACTATGACTTGCAAGGGGACTTTAATCAATTTTCTCTTGGAAACGGTGCCGATGAATATGGCGTAACAGCCTGCAGGTTCGTATTTGAAGAAACCGTTTTCCTTGAGTCCAAGCTCACAACTAGAACAGATTCTATGGCACTGGGTTTGTGGCATTGCTCTCTAATAATCACTTGATCTCAGTATCTAGATATGAAGAGCCACGTCCAAAACTACTAGCAACACCCGCTGAAGGTGATGTTCATTCTTGGACACTGATACCGCCGGCATTTACACTCTCAAGATCGGTTGAAGTTTTATTGAGTATCGGCCAGACCATACACGTGGCGGATGCTGCCGAATCCGAAGATCGCTTTCTAGACATTGGACCTTTTACTCACATCAGCGTATCTCCAAACGGCAAGTTTGTGGCCCTTTACACAGAGACGGGAAATGCATATGTCATCACGAGTGACTTTCAAAACAGACTGAGTGAACATAATTCAAGATCAAAAATTCCACCGAAAGACGTTCAATGGTGTGGCAATGATGCTGTGGTCATTGCTTGGGAGGATGAAGTACATCTCATCGGTCCAAATAATGCTGCCGCAAAGTTCTACTATGACGGCCGAGTTCACGTAATAGCTGGTTCGTAGCCTCTCTTGAGACCGGTTCAAACCTTAATTAATCACTGTGCAGATCATGATGGGGTTCGGTTGATAACAAATGATGTTTGCGATTTCTTGCAGAAAGTACCCGAAGTCACTGATGAAACTTTTCGATTCGGTACAGAATCTCCTGCATCAATATTGTTGGACGCCGTTGAGCAACTAGAGGAACAATCTCCAAAAGCAGATGATAACATACAATTAATTAGACCTCATTTAGTAGAGGCCGTCGATACCTGTGTGAGTAATCTGCAAAACATCTTGAGACTACAACTGACTTTTTTCTTAGGTCAAAGCCGCTGGTCATGAATTCAACATCCATTGGCAGAAGCAACTCCTCAAGGCCGCTTCTTTTGGAAAGTCAGTGCTTGACATCTATAACAGCGATGATTTTGTTGACATGTGCGAAACACTTCGTGTGCTGAACGCGGTTCGATATTACGAGATTGGCATACCTCTGTCATATGAACAATTCTTACGTCTTACCCCTGAAAAACTTGTTAGACGTCTCATCAATCGTCACGAATACCTTCTGGCGCTCAAAATATCCGATTATTTGCGACTTCCTACCGATCGGATATACGTCCACTGGGCATCACAAAAAGTGCGCGTTGGTTCCGAAGACGAGGATACAATATGCCGTACAATCGTAGAGAAGCTATCAGGCAAACGCGGTATCTCATTCGAAGAAATAGCCCGAGCAGCCTACGATGAAGGACGCGGCCGACTAGCCACCTCCCTCTTGAACCACGAACCCCGTGCCGGAAAACAAGTCCCACTACTCCTCTCCATGGAAGAAGACGAAATCGCCCTCGACAAAGCCATCGAATCCGGCGACTCCGACCTCATAATCTACGTACTCCTACACCTCAAAAAGACGCTCCCCCTCGCCTCCTTCTTCCGCGTGATCAACACCCGCCCCATCGCCACCTCCCTCGTCGAATCCTCGGCCCGCACCGACGACTCCTCCCTCCTCAAAGACCTCTACTACCAAGACGACCGACGCACCGACGGCGCCACCGTCTTCATCCGCGAAGCCCTCCAACAACCTGATTCGCGCACCGCCGCCGACAAACTCGCCTTGGCCGCCAAACTCCTCTCCGACTCCAAAGACACAACCTTCGAGCTCAAAGCCCTGCAAGAAGCATCCCTCCTCCTCCGCATGCAAGAATCCCTAGACCGCGACCTCACCGAATCCTTCACCAGTCTCTCCCTCAACTCCACCCTCTTCAAACTCCTCGAACTGGGCTACACATCCCGCGCCAAAAAACTCACGACCGAATTTAAGATCCCCGACAAAACCACCTGGTGGATACGTCTACGCGCTCTGGTCTCCAAACGCGACTGGTCCGCCCTGGAAGATCTATCCAAAACGCGGAAATCCCCCATCGGCTGGCTCCCCTTCTACACCCTGATCCTCAATGCGGGAAACCAAAAATTGGCAGGGGTTTTCGTAGAGAAGATTCGAGCGCAGGGAGAAGTGAAGGGCAAGGAGATGGTGGAGCTGTGGGAGAAATGTGGGATGAAGGGGAGGGCGGCGGAGGAATGTGTGAAGATTAAGGATGTGGCGGAGTGGGAACGCCTTTTGGAGGGGTGTGTGGGGGGGAGTGTGGAATATAAGGAGGTGGAGAGGATCGGGATTACGGGGGGTTTGAAGAAGTAGGGTATTGTATTGGGTAGCTGAGTTGGAACAAGAAGTTGAGTTTGGGTGAGAGAGAAGGGTGGAGGATGTAGAGAAGTTGATGGTGGTGCTATGTAGTTAGGTATACGTGCGTGTTTGCAATGAGAGAGAGAGCACTTTTTTATTTCATCCATTTTATCCATTTCATCCCACTAAATACAAATTGTCACCCATTTATCATTTACTCACTACCTAGTACACTGTCTTTATTCCTTCTTTTAGTATTTTATTATTATAATTGTTATTATCTAAGTTTTAGAACTTTATCTAAATTTTAATCCCCTATTCTTATTCTAACACAAATATAAATACTTTTAATATCGACTCGCCCAATCTAATCCCTTTAGCGAAACTAGATCTACTGTTTTTTGACCTGCTGGTGCTATGTTTTTCTCTTGTTGTGCGAAGATTTGGCGATGTTTATGGGATATATTGGATGTATAGGATGTATAGGATGTATAGTATCTATAGTATATCTATGGAGCTATCTCATCTCAGAAATAAGATGGTTTCGAGGTGAGGAGGAGAAGGAGGGGGAGAAGGAGAAAGATGATAGGGAAGTATTTGATCCTCTTTCAAAAGCAATACTAGACTTACTACTGAGTAGTATCTAGTTGCACGAGCGCTGATTGCGCAATTGCTTTAAGGTTCTTGAGGTTCTTGAAGAAGTTCTTGAAGAAGTTCTTGAGGTTCTCAAGGGGGTTTGCAGATGTATTTGGGAAGGGTTGGAGCGTAGATGAATATGGGGTTGTGAGAGGGGGTGGTGTCAGGAGGTAAAGGGATAGGTGCTAAGCGTATTATTATTCCCTTCGCCGCTTCTCTTTCTTCCTATCTAAAATGACTATTGTAGTAATCTTCCTTTTAACCTTTTCAACCTTTTTAACCTTTTTAACCTTCTCAAACTTCTCAACCTTCTCAACCTTCTCATCAATATGCATCGAAATCGGCACGAAAAAGATCTGAAAAGGAAAATTCTTGGCTCGGGTATTATCATCATCATCATCATCATCATCATTTCTTTCTCTTTCTCTTTCTCTTTCTCTCTCATCCTCTATCTCTCTCTAATTCTCTTATCCTCTACCTTATCCTCTATCTCTAACTCTCTTATCCTCATCCTCATCCTCATCCTCATCCTCATCCTCATCCTCATCCTCACAAACAATACATGCAAAACCAAACCAGGTCTCAATCCTAAATTCCATCGACTTCGGACTTTGCATATCGGTGTAGTATGGTATATTATGGTATCCATCCATGATATATCATATGTATGGCATAATATGTACTTGTACTCAAATCCAGACCAAAAAACAAGGAATCCGAATTATCCGAATAATAAGAAATAGAAATAACTGATATTCTAAACAAGATCACCATAATTATAGGAACCAATTAACTAAAAATCGTGCGTGTAGTAAGTAACGTTATTACTGAGAGCAATCATGATGCGAATGAATGAGCATCTAATTCAATCCATATCATATCATATCACATTATTAGAGTGATTTTGCAAGGAAGGAGCGTAATGTAACTTGAATGTAACTCGAATGCAATGTAATGCAGAGGAGTAGCTACGTTGTGTTTGCGCTTGTATCTATCGGTATAGTAACGGTCGGGTAGGGAAGGAAATAGATGTCTTACTTGGTTTATGGGTGGGTAGGTAGGTAGTATTTAGGTAGGTATGTATGTATCTTGTGGGTTTCTGGTAGTAAGGGGAGGGAAAAGGAGGTAAATGGGTTGGTTATGTTACTTACCCAATAAGTATAGAGATCAAAACCTGGTTACAGATAAGATGATTGGATTTACTTAGTGACCTACCTACCTGTTTGAGTACTTATTTTGCAAAAGAAAGAGTATATATGCCACTTGTCACTTGACAATTCAAAGTTTAAATTCAAAGTTCAATATTGACAGAGATGTGATGTGATTTACATAGATTGAAGGGGGTATATCTTTTTTCATGATTTCACCATTTCTATTTTTACACTATATCTTTCTCCCTCTCCCTCTCTCTCTTTCGCTACATAGCTCTTCAAGATATACATATACCTACCGTACAGGTAAGGTACCGAGAACTTCCTGATTTCAAGATCCCTTCCTTTTCTCCCAAGTAAATAACAAACGCCACATATGCTTCAACGCGCATTTTTTATGCATTCATCAGATCAGCCATAAATATGATACAAGGATCTCTCTCCCTCATCGAGCGGTCCTATTCCACACCAACACAATATGATATGATCATTTTACCATCTCCCCAATTTCCATCCATGAATCCGATCTTGGATTTGATCCCAACCGAATTCCTTCAATACTCTTCCTTCCACTTCGCCTTCTTGTAATACCACTGTTGGGCTGCCACTTCCTTGTCCTGCATTTTTCACCAAGCCTCCAAAGACTTGTGTAGCCACTCTTCTTAAATCTTTGACAGTTAATTCTTCAATTTTCCTACACATTTCTCTCACCCCCACTTTTCTTCCGTGAACCTGTACTTGTCTTCCCAAATCCTCTAGTTCTACCATCCTCGACTCCAAATTCATCAATAAACTGGATCTCAGCTGATTCTTCGCACGGTTGACTTCTGCAGTCTGTAGCGCGTTAAACCCAGTAGCGAGAGTGAGGTTTTGTAGTTCGCGGCACATAACATCGAGCATGGGTTTGACGTGACCAGGGGAACAAGAGGAGGAGATGCCAAAGAGACCAGAGTCGGTGTACGAATGGTTGAACGCCATGCAGGACTCAACCCAGCCGTGTTGGTTGAGAACATTGGTGTAAAGGCGAGAATACATGCCTTTGCCAGGACCACCGGCAGAGAATGATCCACCGCCGCCGAGAAGGGTTTGGAGAGTGGCGAGGGCGTATATGTCAGGGGAAGATATGGAGAGGGCTTCGAAAGCGATGTGGATATGGCTCAAGGCGGGGACGGAGGCGTTCGTTGGCGGTGGAAGCGAAGGGAGGGAGAGAAATCCACCTGTGTAGTGTGAGGCTTCATTGAGATCGAGGGGATTCAGGAAATCATTTTGAACAGAGGCGTTTTTGGGGGCAGAAGTAGAGATGTTCTTGAAAAATGGGATGCGTGATATCAAGGAGGATGGTTTTTGCGTCGGCGATGGTGGTAGTGATGAGGAAGATGACATTGAGCTATTGCTGCTAGTTTCACTTGATGATGAGTCGAGTGATGTTTCCGAACCAGTTTGGGATAAGACGGGAGCTGATTTTGGCATATCCCCAAAATGTTGCTCGGCAAGCTTTACTGCTTCATCATGTTGTACGCCCGCAAATGCCACCACCATTCTTTCGGGTCTATAGAAAGTATCCCGGTATTTTTGTATGGTATTGCTGTTGATCTCTGAAAGTCGCTCTTTGGGGCATAATAGAGGGTTTCCCAGAGTATTGCCCTTGTACGCAACCATGTGTACGATTTCAGGGAGAATTAACTCTGGCTTTGACCAAATTTCACCAATCTCATAGGCGGCAGTTTCTAATTGTTGCTCAACCTCCACTTCGGTCACTAAAGGATTTCGTATTGTCTCGGCAAGCAGTGCGACGGTAGTCGGTACCGCAGAGTTGAATGTGGCACACTGATACATTAGAGATTCTCTCGATGAGGCGCATTGTATATTTCCTCCCAGAGATTCTATGGATTCTAACATTTCATCGCTCGATCGCTTCGTCGTGGATTTGAATGCCAATCTATCCATTAAATGACTGACTCCTCTAAAATCTTCATTTTCGTATCTGGACCCTGCATCGATGTATACACCAATGGCGGAGAAATGACCAGGTAATGCCTCAGTTGCGACTTGAACTCCATTGGGAAGGATAGTAATTTGATCTAATTCGGCAGGATCCTATTTTTTTCACGTTAAGTTAGTCGAGTGAGTGAAGTGAAGGAGTTGGATATTCATTATATTTTCAAGAGTACCTTTTGTATAGCCTGCACTACTGTAGCCAGACTTCTCAAGTGGAATGTAGGTAAAACATTGGGTATAGTTCTTTGAGATGAGAGGGCCCTCCTAAGCAACCTCGTGGAAGAATTCCTTAACATAATAAATATTGTTGTAGTGATTGTAAGTCAAGAAGGGTAGAAATGAACCTCCTCGTCGCGAAAGTTCCCTAACCCTAGCGGATTTACCTATCAAAAAACTTGAGCTCGGTATTTGCCGGTTCAAGAGACAATTCGATCTTTGAGGCCTCAGGCATGAATAACAAAGCATCCCATCTTACCCGTATTCAGAATAGACAATGATGACAATGATAACCTAGTATTCTTCACGTGCCACCACTGGGGAAGCCTTGAAGGATGGGGAGGCGTTATTCAGTTATTCACGAATCATGAGCAGCCAAGATGTTTGAACCCCATTGCTTATACCATTTTAATGGGTCAACGGGTCAAAGCCATTGCATTTTTGATATTAATGGCGGTTATGATTATTTTGAGTATTAAATAGGTACTCGAGTAATAATATCATATCTAAGAGTAAAACAACGGAAACCGTCCTTATCAATTTTAGCCCCTGTTTCCGGCCATTCTTTAAAATAATACCTATGGTCGTCTCTATTTGTATGGATTGATTGATATCTCTTATTATATATATTGGAATGAAATGGGCTGACTTATTAACCATTCGGTTCTCTTCCTTCTTATAAGACTAGAAATACGAGTTGAGATACTCCCGCTACTCATACAATAACTACAATACTACTGTTCCATCCCAATTATACCTAGTCACCTAGTCCTCTCTCTATAACAACAACCATAACTACAACTACAACTACAACTACAACTACAACTACAACTACAACATTAACACCAACACCAACACCAACATCAATAATAACATAACCAAGATATCTTCTTCTACCGCATCTACCGCATCTTCCCCATTCTAAGAACTTCTTGTTCTTTCTTATACACCGCACCTCACACACCGCATACCACATACCGCATATATACCTACTCAAATCTCAACAAAGGATCATCTTATTTATTTACCCCGTAAAATATACCTTCCAGATCATCTTACACTTTGACTACAAAATACGAATTACCGGCGGGTACATACATCCTTCTACGAGTATACACATTTCCTTATTATATTGATATCACCGTTCCTCGACGAAGTCCTTTGTTGAATTAATATCCATCTACTACTTTTTCTTTCATAATTTTACATCAAATGTATTCTTCGGTGCCCAGTGCGCCTTGGAATCCTACCACCTCAATAACATCCATTGTACGAGAACGAACTTCATCTACACAACCAGTTTCTCCAACATCACCCACATCTAGAGGTCGTCTAAGGGGTTTAAGTTATTTACGAAGTTACACACACAATCACATATTGTCAAGGGATAGTCACAACCATAATAATTCTTCATCAAATAACAATAACAATCAAAATCAAAATCAAAATCAAAATCAAAATTCACGACCCACAATCTCACGCACCACAAGTTATCCTTCTACTACCGGTACAACTACTACTCCTTCATCCCCCACGTCAGCAGCGAGTGCACCATCTGCAACAGCCACTTCGCCTGCCACTTCTGCAACCGAAATTCTCCCTCGTCAAATTTCACTTACTGCACGAAGATTCTCAACTACACCTGAGCTTACATCTGCAGGAACGAATAATCAAGAAAATTCAGCTTCTACAAGTGGGTGGTTACCGACAGTAGGAGGTCACAGCGGAGTATCAAGAATCGCAACTCAGCCACAATCTACGGCCACTGCATCTTCTTCAGCCGTGCTATCAGCTAACGACCCAGCTGCGATAACGTCTGGTCTTACGGCGTCGATGGCAAGGACTCGATCTGCAGGAACTGGAGGGGCAGCAGATATGCCTTTAATCAATACTTCAGGAGATAGTAGTCCCGCACCTACAGGTGGGGCTATGTCGCATCAATTACCATCAATTCGTTTCTCTCCGCATCAAGATCCTCGAGCTCATCGTCCATCCCTCGTATTTGGTACCATGAGTCGCACACTGCCGACAGGGAAGGAAATTATAAAGGTTGGTCGATATTCTGAACGGGATAATCAGCCCGCTCATGCTACGAGTGTGCCATCGTCTGCACCGGTAGGGTTCAAGTCAAAGGTGGTGAGCAGGCGTCATTGTGAATTTTGGTGTACTGGAGGCCGCTGGTATATCAAGGATGTGGAAAGTTCCTCGGGCACATTTCTCAATCATATACGATTAAGCTCCCCTGGCAAAGAATCAAGACCATATCCAGTAAATGATGGTGATATAGTGCAATTGGGCATAGATTTTAAAGGTGGCGAGGAAATGATATTCAGATGTGTCAAAATACGAGTGGAACTGAATAAAGGGTGGCAGACTGGTCCTAGCAGTTTCAAGTATGTGTGATGATTCGATGATGAAGCCAGTATGTTTGCTAACGTCCTACCCAGTGTACAATCTCATAAGCGTTTACGCGAGCTCAATAATATTCAAAAGAAACAATCATCCGGTGGTTCGAGTAGCTCGAATGGTTCGTCGCAAGATTGCTCGATTTGCCTTGGACCTATAGCTGTAAGTACAAATATCATACGCTCACTTGATAATCCTTAACTAACATATGAAAGCCTTGTCAATCTTTGTTCGTCGCACCATGTTCTCACACATGGCATTACAAATGCATTCGAGTTGTCATCAACGGTCCTACCTGGCCTCATTTCATATGTCCAAATTGTCGTACGGTCGCAGATCTCGAGGCAGAGCTTGACGAACCAGATGGAGATTGGGAGGAACTGGCCATATCTGATGGGGAGGCGGAAGCGGTAGCGGAACCTGTAGCAACGCCCCATAAAACCGATCTTAAAACCGAGGAAGCGGCTAACCCACAGGCGATTAATACCACAGTCGCTCCAAGTCTACCAGAGCCGGAAACCTTTGAACCTCTGAATATGCATCACATCGATGATGACCTTGATACCAGCGACGACTCCAGTACTGGTGCTCACATCCATGAAACCGGACTCGAAGACATAGTCTTTCTTCACGTTAGCAACTCACCAGCCAGTTCAACTTCGGTCACACCAACTCCTCTAGCGAACAATAATTCTACCGTGTCACCCGTCGACATTGTTACAAGGAAACCCCTTCCCAGCGCGTCAGCTACCTCGTCTTCCCGTGTGGAGCACATCCGTGGTTCACCAACCCCTAATGGAATCCACCCTGCATTGACAGATCCTCTGACCGGTGAAGGTCCGATGACACCCAGGAATGATGTTGGTCCTTTCATTTTCGATGGCGGTGCGGGTCGAACAAACGACATCAGACTAGCGACTGGAGCGGGCAATCTAGACTACGATGAGATCCCAACTACAGCTCGTTCGACACCACATTCTGCTTTATAGTCATCTATTTGTAGGAGAATTCATCTCGAGATAATTTGGCCATTGCAAGATTGGAGATTTTAGCGAAGGCGGCGTCACAAATCGGCTATCTTACGTCTAATGATATATTCCACGACTCTGTACTGTTACGATAATGGATAAAAATGATGAACGATTAGGGTACATAGTTTCAAGGGATTGGGTGGATAATGAATCAACTAATACGTCTAGGAGGGTGCTAGGCGTACATTGGGGGGAACATTTAAAGTTATATGAGGTTCAGGGTGGAGTTAGTTGCTTTTATACTTGCTGGGCAGGTGCCAGCATGGAGGAGGGTGACAAGGAGTAGGCGGCTCAAATACTATATACACAAGCCGGGAATAGGAATAGGAATAGCGGAGCGCGGAGCGCAGCGGAGCAGGAGGTGACATCTCGCATGTTTGAAAAGGAATCTATATTTACAAAGGTTAATCACGTCAAGGGCCATATGAATTTGATTAGGTGCTGGGGTGACAGGAGGTTCGGACATCGGAACATACCTAGGAAATGCTCGACAGTGATATTTGATATTTGATATTTGGTATAAGACATTTATATGGAATGGAAAGATGAAACGTTGAAGAATGCAAATTCTGCTAACTATTTAGATTGAAATACGATAAACAGTGATTCATTCGTTGATCCATCGTATGACAGGAATAGAATGGGTTGTTTAGTCTAGTCGATAATCAACCAGTTAAACTAAATATTAATACACTGATTAAACTGGCAATTTAGTTTGTTATATCGCAACTGCCACTCGTTTTGGTTTAGTTTATGATATTCAAACTGCTTGTGCTCGTCGAATTCTAATTTTTTTTAAACTACTAGTAATATTAGTTTGACTGGCAGTTTAGTTTGATAGTTTGATAGATTTAAAACTGCTAATTATTTGGGTTGGGTTGGGTTGGGTTGGGTTTGGTTTATTATATTTAAACTTGAAATGCTAGTTGAATAGTTGAATAAACTACCGTGACTACGCTTTTTTAAATTATTAGATTTACTAGTTTATCGATAAGTTCAAATTACTACTCTATACTATACTGTATAGTGTAGTGTAAGTCAACTACCCTACTTATGGACCACCCCCCCTTTCACACCAAAAACAGTCATTTTTCATTTTTATAACTTTTTAATTAATCGATGAAATTGAATGAAATTTTAAATACCGATTCTTTATATAGTTATTAGCTCAGGTACAGATTTTCAGAATTTTCACAATTTTATATAAAAAGTTATTAAAGCCTGAGATACGAGTATAGATATAGATATAGAAACAAATAACACGATGTAATACCTTCGCACCACGCATTTTTCGCGTTTGTGTATACAGCTGTACTGTACGGAGATATATAGAGATAAGGTGATACTATTAACTAGATAGCTAGCTAGGTTGTGATTTCAATAGATATATGATATGGTATGGTATGCCATGGCGATAGATACTGATTTATATATTTTCCAACATATTTCACATATTAAATTATAAAAAAAAGATCTTGATTCTTTATTGAAAATATGGATTATATAGTACGAACGTGTATGTAAGAAGTTGATCTAAGATTGGATGATGTGGAGAAAGCCAAGGAATTACCCAGGGGACTAATGATTGAAGGGTTTGAATTCTGCAGTTTCGCGGATATCTTAATCTGGAATCTGGATTGCATTTTGGTAATCGGCTACATTTTGGTTTTTGCGCTGAGATGAGCGGTGAATTAGTTGACCTTCACCGAGGAAGTTGTGATTGTTGTGATTGTTGTGGTAACTTGTTGTACCATAGTGTAGCATTTCCTTATGATATGTGAATTATCCCGTGTTTGTAGGTGCTGCCACAAACCCCCTTTCTCAGGCGCTAGTGATAGCCGAGTGAGTCATTGTTTCGGCTGGAAGGCAGTATACAGCATGACTAGAAGATGTTCACAGCTTTTAGTGAAGGAATCACTTCAAGGTGACATTAAAAAACTGTTCACACTCTGCAAAGTAGCTCGGCTTGGATTTGCATCAGGCATCGATGTTGAGATCCAAGTCAACCTTTGCCGGATAAAGTCCTTGTCAATGGAGGATTGATCGTTTCCAGACGCTAGTTTCAGATGACCATCATCATTGAAGTGAAGACAGAGTAGCGCCAACCCTACGCCAACTGAAAGATCCTGCCCAGACTCGCAAGCAACAATGACTTGCATCTCTTCGCTGGAAGAGCCCTTTGAAGTAAAATCATTGAGATTCCTGATGAAGAATTCAGAGATATCTTTGAGGGCTGTGCGGAGATTCTTACTACCGACTTTCTTGGATCCAAGACCAACGTTGATTCGCGAGGGAGAAGTGTGCCATGTATCTTTGGAAGTAACTTTCGGCAAGAGTACAATAGTACAAATACCAACATTGCTGTCTAGAGGTGGAATTGCACCGATAGTCGAAAGAGAAAGACAGGAAGTCGGTTTTACGAGGCGTTGTTTCTCATTAGACCTAGGTGATAAGCTTGCTTGGCCTCTCAACGTCTTAATGAGCTCAGGTAAACTCTCTTCCGATGTTTCAATTAAAGTTTGCTGATTCGCCCAAAAGATGTCCGGAGTGAGCCCATGAGCCCAATTTTCTGTATCGTCTCCTGCTCCTTGTATATAGCCCCCCTCACTAGCCTCTCCTCCAGGAACTCTTCGCGAAACTGTACAGCATATGACAGGGTGAAAATCTTCAAAAATAACGATCGTGTCGGAAACTTGGGACTCTGGAGTCACCCAAATTGGTCTGATCGGCTTGCGAATCTTACTTCGGAAGGTTTCAATAGGTAGATTGAGAGTCTGAAATGCTTTCACGAATTGGGGAATCAAATTCGTCATTTGAGCGTGCTCGGAATCAGAAACAACTTGTGGTGGAGCGTAAAGCTGATGAGCCACTGGATTGTTAGGAAATAAGACGCGGTTCAGTACACAACACCATATTGGTATTGTCTTGCTTAATGCATCAGGCATACCTTTCTGATATTAGTATACCGGCGCGAAATAGGTGCTGTAAGAGAATAACCCACGCTTTCCCCGCCTAGTAGAATCCATAATGATACATCTGTATTGTGCTTTCAGCTTGTAGCCCAATATGATTTATATGTGTACAAACCCATCATTTTGACCAATTATATCTAACAGGTGTAAATTCAGTCTACGTGAACTGAACTTCCAAACACCAGTATGACCATCTGTGCTCTTGAAGTATGCACTTCCTCCTTTCTCATTGGGATCAATGTACCAGCTACCACATCTCTCATTTGCTACTAGAGGCCTATTGTAGGCGTTTGCAACGGACTGAGCGAATTTTGCGTCTTCGAGAATAGATCGAAGCCGATTGTGAATAGATAGAGTTGTTCTTTTGATCTCACCGAGGGTTTTTGAGAAGTTATGATTTGCTTGTTCATTGAAAATAATGTCCGCAACTGTCCGAGGCATTTTGAGAAACTGGCCACTTAGCTAGCTGTATGTCGATAAACTTACCTCGGTCTCAAGATCAAAGGTAGGAGTCCTGAAAGTTTGTGTCTCTCGAAAATTCTGGTGGGGGTTTCATAAATCTGGGCGGTGAGAATGGGCAAAATCGATTAGTTAACTCAAGTACGAGTTACTAGAAGTAATGTATCTAGACTTAACAGACCGGAAATAACATCTTAAAAAATGTCCTTATTCCTAGTTGATGTATTTTGTGTTCCTAATTGGGAATGGAGATAGTATTGTCTGAATGATTTTATAAATTTTCAGATATGCAACCAAATAAATTAAATCTGGATGTTTCACCGCTTTCTAACAGAATAATATCGGCTCTAGCCAAGAAGACACTGCGTCCATCGGACAATTTACCGTCGGAGTTTATAAACACTCATCCTCATTCCAAATTCTAGATCTTCTACAATGGTTGTACAAAACTACAGAATCTATAGTCTAACAAAATAGCTTTCTGATAAACAGATAATATCAAATGTAATATTGAAAGTTGAATGCATGCTCACAGATTGATTCAATATTCTGGACAGAGTTGTATTCTTTCTACTCTACACACACATCTATAGTCAAGACATTGTAATATTTAATCTTTTATTTCCTTATACGTGACATTGATATTGATCTCAACCTAACAGTACCTACATTGCAAAGATATGAATGGGGGATAGGAAGAGAAGTTCTTGAGGTGTATATTGTCAATTTGATTGGATATTGGACGAGAGAAGGTATGATCACTATTTGAACCTTGAAGGACAAGCATTTTGCCAAACCCCGACTTTGTTCATAGCTCTTGCATAGGGATGCCATCTAGAGCCTTCTGCATCTCGAAAAATATCGGTCGAGATCAATCATTAATGCGTTGTGCCTGAAGAGTGTACCACAAGCTCATGCAGTCTGACTAAAAAGAGGAAGGCGGGTCACTTGTAATGAGGGGGTACTATCAGAATATTGATAGATGACGGCAGCAACTCGCCGAGCGCCATGTCGGTCAGATTTATGCCTGTAAGATTTGAAGATGATGCTGCCCCCTTGAATCCATTGAAGTACTTCATCAAGGGAACACAGCATGATATTTCCATCATATCAAAATAGATCGCCAGCTGTTCCCACTAGAGTTGCTAGATATCAACAAGATCTTCAGCTGTTGAGACAACTACATCTCCAGCCGCATAATGGATGTGATGTGTTAGGCTCAACAGTAAGAAGCCCGTGACATTAACCGCACAGAGCATTCAAGCGGTCAGTGGACAGTGGACATTATTGAGCACCACGAGATCAATAAAACTAAACCTCGAGCGTTGCAGTACAGGACTCAGCACATTGTTCGTGGTTTGAAGGGTCAATCTGCTGAAGCAAGGCTTTCAAGTCAGCCTAAGATTCTGAAGCCTGACAAAGTCATCACGCATGCCGGTATCGGAAACTGATATCCGACTAAGTGCGCTAGAGGGCGTGGGAGGCCATTTGGTGAAAGATTTGGGTTAATTCATCACAAGGTGTTGAATGATTTGATGTTTATGTTTTTGGAATATTTTGATCAGAAAGGGAGAGTACAATATTATCAGTAACGAGTTAGCCGAAGGTTTGTGTTGGTGTTGTAGATTTAGATTTCGGGCTATCTGTCTATCAGGGTGGGGATTTCTCACCGCCAAGTGCTGAGGCTTAGCAGAAAAAGATTTGTATAAGGCCAATCGGCCAATCAGTTGAAATAAATTAGGGTTGGCGTTCTAGGATGAGTGACGTATGGACGGACGGGTATGGTAACTTCTGTATAAGATTTTATTGGGCGGTAATATAGAAAATACATTGATGACTTTGTTAAAGACTATATCGAATTGAATGCACTTACAGTATCCTTGCATTATACACAGATACCCAATCAAATATCAAATCTAAAATTATTCATTCATTATATATACCGGAGAACCTAACATAAACTTACCTATTCCTTCTTATTCTTCTATTCTTCTAAAATTACCTAGCTAGTATCTATTCTATCACTTACTTATAATGCTTAGAAGTGGAGCGGAGGCATCCCAAGGTCTTGGCATCTTGGAAGTGGTAGTGGTAGTGGTAGTGGTAGTGGTAGTGTAGTGGAAAACCAAACAACCCTTCCTCGCAATTTCTTCATCACGACTCATTCGACATTCTTCCTGATCTTTTTTTTTTCTCACCTTGAGAATAATTCTTAAATCTTAAGAGCAACATCTGCGAACCCTAATCGCACAATTATACTTGCGTTACCATCTATACAAACGGGACTGGGAGGATAGCGAACATAGAAAATAAAAGAGGTCGGGAGCGGCGACTGGGCGCGACAAGAATTCATGCTGCGACATCACACAATACTTCTGAGGGAATCCACTGATTGGGGTATAACGAGCAGAGGAAACTCAACAGATTGGGTTATACCATTTCGACTCCTTTTTTGACGATAACCTCCTCTCTCGCGAATACAATATCCACACCGTTGGCAATCGATTGCGGTTGCTCTAATACATATTCTGTACCGATCGCCACTCATTTAAGACAGCCAAGATGGCTTGGGATCATCTTTCTATCAATAAACCTCATTTGGTCTACATCATTCTCGGTGGCTTCACCTCATTGTTTATGCTGTGCTCCTCCTTCATCAAGGAGCGCATGTATATTGGCGAAGCCACTGTTGCCACCATTTGTGGTATTATCTTTGGACCTCATGCCGCCAATTTGATCAACCCCGACACTTGGGGCAATACCGATCAGATCACTTTGGAATTCTCTCGGATTGTCCTCGTTGTTCAATGTTTCGCCGTTGGGGTCGAATTGCCCAGGCATTATATGGAGAAACATTGGAGAAGTGTGGTCTTTCTACTGTTACCTGTGATGACGTTTGGATGGTTGATCACAAGTCTTTTTATTTGGTGGTTAATCCCACCGCTTAGCTGGCTGCAGGGACTCTGTGTTGCAGCATGTGTGACTGCGACAGATCCTGTACTCGCCAGTTCTGTGGTTGGAAAAGGAAAGTTCGCAAAGCGAGTGCCGAAACATTTGAGAGATCTTTTATCTGCCGAGTCAGGATGCAATGATGGAATGGCATTTCCGTTCATCTACCTTTCTATATATTTGATTCGATTTCACCTCAATGCCAAGGAAGTCACATTTGACTTCATCGTCATAACTGTCCTGTATGAGTGCGTGTTTGGTGCAATCTTTGGTTTCGTTGTCGGTTACATTGGCAGACACGGAATAAAATTGGCGGAAAGACATGATTTAGTCGACCGAGAGAGCTTTCTCGTCTTCTACTTTGTCCTTGCCCTATTCTGTGCAGGCTCAGGGAGTATCCTTGGAGTTGATGATCTCCTTGTCGGCTTCGCCGCTGGCGTTGGCTTTTCCAATGATGGTTGGTTTACTCAGAAAACAGAGGAATCTCACGTTTCCAACGTCATAGATCTACTCCTCAATTTAGCATATTTCGTGTATCTGGGTACAATCATTCCATGGGAGCAGTATAACGACGTGAACATTGGAACTACGCCATGGAGACTTACTGTCATTGCCCTTTTGGTCATTTTCTTCAGACGCATACCTATTATGATGGCGCTAAAACCCTTGATACCCGACATTAAGACCTGGCGAGAAGCTTTGTTTGCCGGTCATTTCGGTCCCATTGGAGTGGGTGCTATCTTTGTTGCTATTCTTGCTAGGGCCGAGCTTGAGACTGAAACCACCACGCCATTGTCTGAATATCCAGACCGAAACGCGCCGAACTGGGAATTGGTAACGGTAATTTGGCCCATTGTAACATTCCTTGTTATTGCTTCCATTATTGTACACGGTTCCTCTATTGCCGTCTTTACTCTTGGGAAACATATCAACACCCTGACACTCACAATGTCCTATACGCAAGCTGGAGATGATGGTCCTTCTTGGATGAACCGCCTTCCCCGCATCTCATCGACTTCGAAATCTCAAGCCAAGACAGCAGGATCGGAGACCGACGGTGAGGATCTGAAGATGGACGAGCTGCCACCAGGTACTCTGCCACCTCCGGGAGGAATACCTGGAGGGTTTTTACGCCGTCAAAGGGAGGAAGATAATCCAAGTAGAGCCAGCAGTCGTCCATCTTCGTTGATTCCACGACGCAGAAAGAAAAAGTGGGACGATGGGGTAGGCCCAGGCGGTCCCATCAGCGAGTCAGCCATTTATCCTGCTCGACGAAGTCGCGACTACTCAAATGAACAAACTTCCGATACATTAACGCCTGGCGAGTCTTCGCCTGATAACGAAAAGGCAAATCTAGATGACGAGTCCAACGAAGGTGAACTTGGAGAAATCCAACACGATCCACAAATGGAAGAAATCATGCATCATGGCGAGAATGAAACGCGACGTGATCAGCACATGTCAGATGCTCATCGCGACCCCGAAAAGGCGGAAGTTTATGATGAAGGTGATCATATCATCATTGAAAACGAAGATGGTGATGTGATAAAAACTCTAAAGAGCTCTAATGGGGCAAATTCTGGGGAAGGATTTGAGAAGTTTGAAAAGGATATCAAGCAAGGTTCAGGGAAAGCCTATCAGAAGTTTGGGAAGATAATGGGCGTTTGGCGAAATAAGGAAGAGACCAAGGAATACGAGACAGGGGAAAGCTCCAAGGGGAAGAAAGAGAAGGAGCCTCGTAAGACTCGAGGTCCAGCTTTGGCGTACCAGTATGGTCGATCTGTAAGCCTTTCCCTCCATTGAATTTGATATTGCCACATCGCTAACACGAATTCCGCAGATCATTGTCGAAGATGAAGACGGAGAAGTTGTCAAGACATATGAACTACCGCCCGACCCCAACAGCAAAGCTTCGAAAAACGGCGAACCTAACGCTGTGCGCCAAGGGATAAACCGTATGGGCACTTGGACAGGACTTGCTGGCACCAAGGCAGATGGCTCTACTAAGCCGGACGCTACAACAACAGAACCACCCAGCCAAGGCACAACACGAATGGGAACCTGGAACTTCGGCAAAAACAATCCCAATGCTGACAATAAAGAGACCGAAGAAGACGATGATCGCCGAATCCGATTTACTATTGGGGGGGCAGGACGCCGTCTAACTAAGGAAGACTTCTTAAAGGAAATTCAAGGTCTTGATCCTAAGGCAAGATGTGAGATTGTTGAAGAAAGCGATGCACCCAGAGCGATGAAAGACCTGGCAAAGAGAGATGCCAGTGACAAAACGCAAGGAAGTTCACGTTTATTTGGAGCTCAAGACACACAACTTGCCGCTGGCGCGCAAACTGCGCGAGTGGTAGGGAAACAAATGGCGAAGAAGCATGGCGCCAAAATCGATGCGCAGGATAACCCTAAAAGTAGCACAGCGGGAAGCAGTAAGAATGACATGCCTGAGTCGGCTGCTGAGAAGAGAAGAAGGCAGGAAGCGTTGAAAGGAGTAGATGAGGATGAGGAAGATGAGGATAAAGCTAGAGGACGGGGGAGAGGAAGATCTCCTCCTCGCAGCAGCGACGGACCAGAAGAAAGAGAAACGCCGGCAGAAAAGAGGAGACGAGAGGCTGCGCTTGGAGAAAGCGTACAGAGTGACAGTGACGATGATGATACACCTAGGGTGCCACCACCGGTCACACGCAGCAGGGGTATAAGATTCGCACAGAGTCCCGTGAGAGGAAAGAGATAGTTATGGATAAACTGTGCATATGCTGGGGAATCTCAATGTAAAAGGAGTTGATACCTTGTTGTTATATTTCTGGGGACATATAATGGCTATACTTGATGTTATGTTTCTACGAGAATCTTGGGATGATAGATGATGGGGTGGACTGGTATGTCCATGATTATGATTGGTGTACGATAATATTGAATGGGTGGTTTATATAGCATAGTATATTTGTAATGACATAGAATAGTAGAATACTGGTTTGAAGCTCGTGGGTAATATCATATAAGTGTGAGTGAATGCTTAGACTGTGGATTTTACTTTTTGGATGAGAATTCTACTCGTAGGATGTACCTAGTAATACTGAACATGTCACACATAAACAATATAGCCGGTTACTAGTTGTATGACTTCGATATGGTTACTTTACTACTAAGTTTACTTCTACTCAAGTAATTTAGGTTAATATCTTGAATACTGAATACATTATTTGACAAGGTATACGCAAAATTTGGATTGTCGTCATTAAAAGGCAAGGATACCTTGACCAATAAGCATCGTTGTCAATTTTATTGGACTTCCAAATTGCCGAGCAAGTCGAATGAAGATTCATGCGAAGTTCGCCTCAAAAAGATTCATGCCCATCAACAACAAGCCACGCCATTTCAAGGAAATAATCTGATATCGATTTGCGAATGGTCTATATCTTACAATCATGAGTCAAAACAATCGAAAGGGAAAAGGAAAGGGCAGAGGTGGACAACCAGGTTCGGGCGACAATTCTCACAACAATCCTTCAAATGGTGGTCGACCACAATATATGACAGTTGGTCCTGGAAGTGCACCGGAAAGTGCTGCGAGACTACAGGCACTTCTCGACAGCGATTCCGGGTATGGAGGCAGTGTGGCCGGCGATGGCTCCAATGGATTTCCTTCATGGAATCCCACACTGACCGAGGATAGGCCTACAGCTCAACCATCATCTCCCCTTCCTAGAGGACTATCGAACGAAGCTTCCGAGAACGAGAGACGATCGCAGGCAAATGCAATACATCAACTATGGTACAACCAACATCGTGTTACTCTTGGCAGATCAATCAACCGTGTGGTGGAAACTTTGAAGTCGTTGCAGGAAATGAACGCACAATGGCCAGCGATTTACCCCTCAGTTCAACGTGATGACCCTCCGACACACCGACAGGATCCACGGCCAGGCTTGGTACACACACAAACTGGTATTAGCTCTTCAAGTCCTGAACATCGTCCTGGACAAATGCGACGTGCTATGACGTCTATTGGTGAGAGTAGTAGCCATGCAGAGTCAAGTCAAGCGACGGAACCAAAAGCAACTCCGGAACCTCGACTCGTAACCCCACAGATCGCACAGGAGTTCTCTATATTGAAGTTAGATTTGAAACTGGGAGCTTTGCATCAAACCGAGTTGGTACATTCTTTGGAAAAGGCTTCGATCGCATCTCTACTTGACGGAAAAATTAGTTCGAGCATCAACCATCTACTTTCACTACGAGAACGTATCGAAGACTCGTCGAGCAAGGTATTGGTAACGGGAGATTTGAACACTGGTAAATCGACATTCTGCAATGCACTTCTGCGAAGGAAGATCTTACCAGAGGATCAACAACCTTGTACAAGCATATTCTGCGAGGTTTTGGATGCGAGGGAAAATGGAGGAATTGAGGAAGTGCACGCAGTACACAAGGAAACCACCTACGATAGACATGATGAAAGTACTTATGACGTTTACACGATCCAAGACCTGGAACAATTGGTTCTTGATAACGATACCTACACTCAATGCAAGGTCTACGTAAAGGATGTGCGCACGATCGATGAGTCTTTACTTAACAATGGAGTGGTGGATATTGCGATCATTGATGCGCCCGGTCTCAACTTAGATACTACGAAAACGACTGCCGTGTTTGCTCGACAGGAAGAAATTGATGTCGTTGTATTTGTTGTCTCGGCAGCTAATCACTTCACACAGACTGCGCGAGAATTCATCTGGGCAGCAGCAGCAGAAAAGGCATACATATTCATGGTTGTTAATGGATATGACAATATCCGCGATAAGGAACGATGCCAGAAGATGATCTTGGAGCAAATTCAAGGTTTGAGTCCTAGAACCTTTAAGGAATCCTCGGAACTCGTTCATTTCGTATCAAGTAATGCCATTCCTACGGCTGCACTTGGTCCTCCTGGTCCCCCAGGCGGAAGTGGCGGTGGGAGCGGTAGCTCTAGCGGAGGTGGAGGTGGAGGTGGAGGTGATGGACCAGACTTCGACGACGGCTCAGATCCAAAAGGAAAGGGCAAAGGCAAGGATAAAGAAAAGATTAGGGATTTCGAGATTCTCGAACAATCACTGCGTCGATTCGTTCTCGAGAAGCGTGCTAGATCCAAGTTGGCACCAGCCAAGACTTACTTGCTTAATGTCCTAAGTGATATTCAAAGTCTAGCCACAGTCAACTCAGAGGTTGCACAATCCGAACTGGATCGTGTTTCAAAAGAACTGGCTGATCTAGAACCAATGCTCGAGGCTTCTCAAAAGGCGAAGGCTGAAGTGAGCGATGATATTGATCGAACTATCGAAGCGACATGCAAGAGTATTTACGACTACACTCGCTCGACGCTCAACGATACGATAGCAAGAACAGCTGACGGTGATCTTGGAATCCCATATCCAGGTTTGTTCGGCGCTTTCCAATATGCGGATGATATCAAGGAGGCCATTATGTCCGAAATCTCTGCTACTGTTTCAGCCTGCGAAGAACATGCACGTCGTAAGACAGTCGATGGTGTATCACAAATCAAGCAATTAGGTATCTTACATCTTGGTGATGAGTATACAGACTTGAGCTTCAGAAGCGACATCATGTTCAAACGCAAGCGTGATATTCTTGCCAAGAACCTTGACATTGAGACTGAAATATGGGATTTCTTCGATTTCTCTACTCTACTTCAACGACAGGAAAAGATGGCTGGAACTGGTATGGCGATGACTATCGCGACGGTTGTCGGTAGTCGTGCGATTGGTGGTTTCGGATGGGTCGATGGTGCTATGTCTGCCGCAAAGATCATGGGTAACAACAACTTGCGCAGAATGGTCGTGCCAGGAATCATCGCAGGAGGTATGTTGCACATGACATTTAAGTTTTCGTTTCCTTGCTAATTTTTTTCTAGTTATTGCCGTCGGCTACTACGTCTTGGCCCAGATCCCTCAATCACTTCCTCATCGTCTTTCCTCCAAGATCTCTTCTCAGCTAACCGCCCTCGATTATGTACACTCCAACAGTGACCGTGTCTCATCATCAGTCCGCAAGGTCCTTCGATTCCCTGCAGACAACCTTCGTGTTGGTCTTCAACGTTCAGTTGAACAACTCGGAACCAAGCGTGAGGAGACCAGAAAGATTAGAGGCGAAAGCGAAGTTGCCAGAAAATACTTTGGAAACTTGGTCAATAAAAGTACGGAGATCAGGAACAATGTTGAGAGTGTGGATTTGGAGGGACCAGCCCCAGGAGTGGCGGCTGCATATGATGCTTAGATTCTTGTTATACCCCAACATCGCTTTTTCCCTTACGTGTCGATGACTACTTACTGAGATGTACTGAGATGAACAAAAAAGGCGTTTTTGAGCAATTTTTAAAAACGATATGGGTTGATGGAAATCACCAAGGGGGTGGATAAATTTGGGGGGGGGGAGGGGGGATGTGGAAAATGAAAAACATGAGTGGCGTTGGTCGTAGGCTTTAGGATTGATTGTATGGCGTTCCTAGCTACTTCAGACTTCTCTCTCCACTTACTTTACTCTATAGAATGAAAAGAAAAATAATAACATACCTAGGTGTGTTACACGGAGCTCTTTTTTGCTATGCGATATTGCCCCTATAAAACATGCTCCTGGTGGCCTTTCTTCGTTTTCCGAGAATTGCTCCCGGTGAGCTTTTCTGCAGATAGGTGGGTCGAGACAAGAAGCCTTTTGCCTCGTATTTGAGGCTAAAATCTGGCCAAGGCTGCCAAGCTCCAAGGCTATGATTTTGGAAACGAGCGCCGAACCATTACTAGATGACGACTTGCAGGCACTTGGAACACAACATAAACAATCTACATCTACATCTACAATTAATTCCTTTCAACTTTTCGCACCAAACTCCTTCCAAACCACCTTTATTTACCCCCATCCCTCATAATTTCACACACCCACAGCCATGAACGTAGGTCCCCCTCCTTCTCATCTCCCACCTCCCACTAACCATCCCCTCCCTCAGATTGTCGAATGGGCATTTGGCAAACGGATGACGGCGGCGGAGCGTCTCCGCAAACACCAACGTTCGCTCGAAAAGACGCAACGGGAACTCGATCGCGAGCGCATCAAATTGGAGAATCAGGAGAAGAAGTTGATTGGGGAAATTAAGAAGAGTGCGAAGAATGGACAGATCGGGGCGGCGAGGATTCAGGCCAAGGATTTGGTGAGGACCAGGAGATATGTCGAGAAGTTTTATAGTATGAGGACGCAGTTGCAGGCGATTAGTTTGAGGATTCAGGTATGTTTTTGGGGGTTTGTGGTGGGGTTGGGGTTGGGGTTGGAAGTTTGGGGGTGTGTGGGAAGAAAAGGAAGGAAGTAAGGATGTTGGCTAATGAATGATTTGGGTATAGACGGTTAGGACAAATGAGCAGATGATGCAAGCGATGAAAGGCGCTACGGGAGTCCTGGGAAGCATGAACCGAAGTATGAACCTGCCTGCACTACAGAGAATCGCCATGGAATTCGAAAAGGAAAATGATATCATGGATCAGAGACAAGAAATGATGGACGATGCGATTGATGATGTGACAGGGCTGGAAGATGAGGAGGAGGGTGACGAAGTCATGGAACAGGTTTTGGAAGAAATTGGAATCGATTTGAAGGCTACGATGGGTGAGACTCCTCAGGGATTGCAGAGCTCGACGGTTCCTGAGGGAAGGGTTGCGCAGGCTATCGGGGGAGGGGCGGCTGCTTCTGGAGCGGATCCTGGTGATGATGATTTGCAGGCGAGACTTGATAGTTTGAGGAGGGATTGATTGATTGATTGATTGGGAGTGGAAAGAAGAGTCACGATGATCATGTCGGCGTTACTGGCAGAATTGGGGAAGGGAGGGAGGGCGTTTACTTTACGTGCTGTTCGTTTCTTTGGGGGTTTCGTTGGATGACCAGACAGGGAGGTTCATCGTCACCATATGCAAAGTGCAAAGAGCAAGCAAGCTTAGGAGTCTCGGGGGTACATATCACCTTTTTTTTTCCGTACATATTCAGCCAGCAAGATTGGAATGCAAGGACTTCACTTATTAGTTATCTATAAGTGTGTGATTATTATGATTCTTACCATGCACCTTCTCTTTGGGTTGATCCTCGCAAAGTTGTGTAATTGCCGTATATACTCGAGTACCTACTACAGTAGGTAGGTAAGTATCAAAACGAGCTAAATCCATCCATCCTTAATCCCGTCCCGGGCTTGGACTTACCTACTAGGCTCGGACACGGGAGTATTCGTGATCCCTTCTTCTTCTTCTTCTTGCTTGGAAATTGGAACCCCTTTACTCTGGCTTTAATTTTAGGTTTGGGGCTTTTACAGTAGCCTTTTTGGTTTCCTCAATGTTACTTGTTACTCGTACAGTACCGTCACGGTAGGTAGGTATTAGATTAGGTATGACTGGAAGGAAATATCATAGGTGCACCCGTCCGTCGGGTACAATATAATGCTGTACCAGCACCAAATTACTTGAGTACTCGAGTACATGGTACATATTAGGCTTTGGGGCTTTGGGCTTTGGGCTTTGGGCTTTGGGCTTCTTTGCTTGCCAGTGCCGTTCTTCCGGTATTCTGGCTTGCTTTGGGTTATTGGGAAATTGGGGAGTTGGGATTTGGGATTTGGTTGTTGGGTGTTGTACAGAGAGAGAGAGAGAGAGAGAGGTGCGACCAATAAATATATATTATTGTATCCTGTACCCTTATACTCGAGTAGTTAGTTGTAAGTTGGGAATTTAGTACTTGGGTTTTTGGTGTTTTTTTTTTTTGAGATTCATTATTTTTATTATTAATAAATAATATAGTATTAACGTGGTTTATCAGTGCGTCGCACATATCAGTGCCTCGCGCACTTTTTCACTACTCAATCATTTCAAAATATTATTCAATAATCACAACATATAAAATTAATTGAAACTATTCAGAATCTGATAAATTAGAGTCTTCTAAATCCTCCTGACAAGTTTGTATATTATAACCAGTTTTACCACAAAAGCCATAACGATGTAAAATTGATTGTTCCCTATTTAAATTATCTTTCTTAAAGTATTTGTTGTGTTGAATCTGATTATCTATATCGGTCTATAATATAATATCACATTCATTTTGTATACTAAGTATTCCTCCTTAACGAATTCGATTTTTTTTAATTTTACAATGTTTACTCAATGTTTCATTTGTTTTTCGAAGAATATAAATCTCAGTACTTATAAGTATCATCTCATAAGCTAATATCTTTGTATTCTTAGTTAAAACTATAATTGTTTCAAATATAGGTATAGGAAAGCTTCCTTGATGTTATGCAATTCGATTTTTAATTAAAGTTGATTACAAAAGAGTATCATTCGAGTTGTGAAATGTTTGAGAAACCCAAGGATTGAGCTTTACAAAAAAGAATCTGGTAAATATAAATATTCGTAATTTGATATCTAGCTTAAAAATAACAGTTTGAAGATCAAAGGGTATTAATTCAGTTCCGCGGAATCCAGATAATCCATTTTGAACAGTTATTGATTATAGATATGCTGCTTTGAAGACTATAAGGAATTCGATCTTGGTGATATA